TGATTACAAGTCACACGCTGTTGCAGAAGAAGCAGGCGTCGTAGTAGGCGACTCCGTTCCCATCGACGCCGCAGCGGAGCGGTCGGTCATGCGCAAGTTGGACTTCCGGTACTTCCTCCATCCTCTTTGCCTGCTGGAGAAATGCTCATTTGCAGACTGCTTCCGGTCCTCTCGCTCATGTACTTCTTCAACTCCCTCGACCGCTCCAACCTGGGAAATGCCAAAACAGATGGCCTCGAGAACGATCTTCACCTGGTCGGAAATCAGTATAATGTCATATTGGCTGTCTTCAACGTCACTTTCTGCTTGTTTGACCTGCCGTCCAATTTGATGTTGAAGAAATTTAGCGGAAAGGTGATGCTGCCGACAATGATGATAGGATGGTGGGCTACCTTTCTGGTATATCTGATCCCGCTAACCACAGCCCCAGGGGTTCCATCACACTGCTGCAATGCGCTGTCTTCAACTTTGCAGGCCTGTTAGTCTGCCGTTTGATCATGGGGATCTTCGAAGCAGGGTTCTTTGGTAGGTGAAAGCTTCCGCTGCTGACCTGCTTGCTGACCGCACCAGCTGGAGTGATCTTCTACCTCACACAGTTCTATAAACGCAACGAGATCGCCTTCCGACTGAGCATCTTCTACGGCATGGTCACTATCGCTGGTGAGTATGCCTTCTTTGAAACCTGCTCCTTCTGACGGCTCTAGGTGCCTTCTCTGGCCTCATCTCGTTCGGTGTCTTTCAAATCAAGCACCACCTCCCAGGCTGGAAGTACCTCTTTCTCATTGAAGGTGGCGCCACCCTAATCATCGCATCCTTCTCGCTTTGGTGGCTCCCTGCCAGCGGCGCCCAGTGCCACTGGTTCAACGAAGCTGAAGCTCGCGCGGCCCAAATGCGTCTGCTGCAGGACGGGTCGGTGCGAACGGGCGAGAAGCTCTCGATCACCGAAGCCTTGGCGGCGCTGAGTGACTGGCGTGTGCTAGCATGGGCTGTTAGCTGCTTCTGCTACGGCGTCGCCCAGACCTCCGTTAGTAATTTCCTACCGCAGATGGTTGCTCTCTTGGGGTATTCCACCATAAAGACGAATCTCTACACGGTGGCGCCGTACTGTGTCGGCACGGTCGTGCTATGGATTATCTGCAAGTTATCTGATCACTTCCGGGAACGTTCTATGCACTTGGCAGGCTCGCTGATGATCACCTTTGTTGGGTACATCATCCTGATCGCGGTGGACGCGTCAGAGCACCAGGGTGTCGCCTACTTTGCGTGCTTTCTATTGGCAGCCGGGGCTTTCGTGCCCAGCTCTGTCTTCCATAGTTGGCACACGAACAATGTAACTGACGAGTCGCAGCGTGCCGCGACTGTTGGATTCCTGGTGGGCGCGGCCAACTGTGCCGGCATCCCGTCCAGTCTGGCATTCAAGGCAGATACAGCCCCGCGATATAAGCCCGCGCTAATCGTAAACTGCGCGTTTCTCCTGTTCGGAGTGCTGGTGATCCTGGGGATGGGGACGTATTTCCGCTACGATAACCGGCGCCGCGATCGCGAGCAAGGAGTGAGACTCACCGCGGCGGACGTGTCGACCAAGTCGCTGGTGGGCGGATGGAAGGATCCAAATTGGCGATGGACCGCATGAGGTCAGATATTGCAGTTATTTTGGCCTTGTCATACGGCGATATGTAACCATGGGTGTGCCCGTAATGGGAGGACAAGGATTGTTGACGTCGGCGTCGTAAGAACCAATAAACTGGCTGAGACAAAGTCATTCAGCGGTCCACTGTTTCAAGCTCATTCCCTGACCGCGATAAACTTTGATAAGCATCTATGCTATTAAACCGGACAAGGAATGATGCTTCCATTGTTACTGGCTGCCATAAGCCTCAGCCACCTCGCGGAGGGATCACCCGGACGTCCGAGCTGACTGGGGTGTACGACCCCAAAACCGGACAGCTTGACTACGGCGACAGGGGTTGAGCCAATCTATCCGTACAGAGTGTTTCCCAACGGACGACCGTTAGGGCGGCTGATGCGCCCCATGATTCGCCGGGGATGACCTTATCTGGGCCTATCCTGAGCTGTTCGAAAGGCTGACAGGCACCAGGGATATGCAAGCCATAACAACCCGGAAAGTGAAATCCATGCTCCCCCGCCCTTCTTTCTTTTCTTTCGCTCTATGAACCATATTGGTTCCATGCCACCTCATAGTTTCCTTCCCTCATGGCCGCCAGCGAATGCACGCCTCTACTCGAACCCTCCAAGCAGCCGCAAGAGCGGTCATCGCGATGGCGGGTTCTGGCTTTGATCTGTTTCATTATCCTCGTTCAAGACTTTGCCGAGTATCTCTCTCAGGCACCCCAGACTGAAATCTGGCTCGAGATCGTCACTCGCAAGTTCTGTCCCATAGGGCAGGATGGGCCGGAATGTCAGATGGACCGCGTGCAGAGGGAGGTGGCTCTCCTACAGGGCTGGAAGGATACCCTGGAGCAGGTGCCGGGTAGGCATGACTTTCTTCATTTATCAGGGCTCGACTGACAACATTTAGGTATATTGTTCGCGGTGCCATACGGCGTGCTGGCCGACCGGATCGGACGTCGGCCGGTGTTGCTTCTATGCGCGGTGGGGTTCACGCTGAGCGATGCGTGGACCAAGGCTGTCGGTGAGCGCGAATCCTACAGATTAGAATCTTCTAGGGCTCAATAACTGAGTGGTTGATTACGGTCCAGGTTGGTTCTCCGATCAACTCCCGCTGCGACTGATCTGGCTTGGTCCGATAGCTCAAGTGCTGGGTGGTGGTACCCAAGTAGCCACCTCCATGATGTATGTCATACTCGCTGATCTGTTCAGCGACGAGGAGCAGTAAGAGACTTCCATGCTTCTAGTGGAGGATTACCTAGCTCACGAAGTCTAGAACCACGGCATTTCTCTACGTATCGGCCACGGTGCTCGTCAGCGAGATCCTGGCCACTCCGCTTAGTGCCCTGCTCATGATGAAGAGCATATGGCTACCGTATCTACTATCACCTGTTTTCAATGCTGTTGGTGGTCTCCTCCTGTTTCTCTTACCGGAGACATTACCACAGACACCACCCGACCAACCGTCTTCATCGGAGCAAGCATCACAACGACAGAATTTCCAGGGGCGCACCAGAGCTGCAGTTGACGAGCTGGGCCAGTCAATCGCTGTGATCTGGCGACATCGCCCGGTGCAACTGTTTTTGGTGGTGTTCTTTGTTGCGTATCTGGGAATGCAGGTAATGAAACTGCTTCTGCTCTTCGCCGTCGACCGGTTTCATTGGACGATTGCGCAGGTGAGTGGGACCGGGAAAAATCACGATATGACCAGATTCTAAAATTTCCTTTTTAGGCCAGCTTCCTCATACCGGTGCGAGGGTTTACTAGACTACTGCTGCTTCTCGTAATCCTGCCAGGCATATCACACTGGCTCATAAAGCGACGGCGCATGCCCCCATTCACCAAGAACACTAGGCTGGCTCTGACGAGTAGCGCTTGTATGGGCGTGGGGTGTCTGCTGATTGCGCTGTCCAGCCATCCGGCGGGCGCAGTGTTGGGGCTGGTAGTGTATGCGCTTGGGTCAGCGATGCATCTGTTTGCTCGGCGCATTATCACGTCGCTCGTTGACGCGCATCATATGGGCACTCTGTATACGGCGATTGCGGTGATGCAGGGAATCGGAGTATTGGTGGCCGGGCCGATGATGGCGACGGCGTATGGTTGGGGACTGGCAAGGGGTGGAGTGTGGACGGGGGCTCCGTTTTTGCTGGTGAGTGGACTTTATGGGGCGGCTGGGATGGCAATCGTCCTGGGAAGTTGGGAGGGCCGCAAGGACGATCTGGAGGAATGAATGGTCAGTGAGAAATCTGTGAAAAGCCGCGAGACTATTGGCTAGCAACATACACATCATCCCTATTCTTCACAGCACTCATAGTCTAGCACAAGATAAGCAATTGTGGTACCTAGTTTGACTGAAGCTTGACAAATTTTAGTTCAATGTTGAAGCGCTGGACCGACCACCCGATAGGGATAAAAATAGATCCCCCATAGTACATAGTAAATACGCCTCGGGGATGGTCGATAGTTACCGATCCCCTACTGTTTGAGGTGGTGCGAACATTGCCTGCAAATGAAGATCAATGCCAGGTGGCTTGATGTAGACTAAATAATTCCATGAAAAGAGGTTTAGTCCCATGGGAAAGTGCAATATCCCGTCGTCTTGACTGTCTCTGATGGATGTTGCGATGAAGAAGAAAAGTAAAGATTGAGGGAGATTGTGGGTGCCTGGCCACTAGGCCTGTTTGGGTGGATTTGCTGCCTTGTTGGCCTCACCCGCTCACCTGATCGCTGACCTGATCAGAATTCCTTCTGAATAACTTCATGACGAACTCTTCCCTCTTCCTTCATCTCAATCGAATCCAATATCAGAAGAACAATCCACGTTCAGCTCATTAATTTTCAGGCACCAACTCGGCATCTACATACATGTTACGCTCTGCTTGTCAGGATGATCCTCCAGATCATGAAACCCACCGCCAATCACTGCCACGTACACTGTGTCCGATCCTTGGAAATCGCCGTGGGAGCCTGATGGGCTTCATTCGCCAATGACGCGTCGTACTCCCCGGGCTAGCGGCCACTAGTCCATCCATCGGACTTCATCCATGGCTTCCCATCCGCGAATCCAGCCACTGTTTCGCCCAGCCCGGCCCCCACTGGTCCTCGGTCGGTTCCTGTTTCCAAGGCTATTTTTTGCTCCTGGCCTTTTTCTCTCCCTCTCTCCTGACCCACCACACGTCCAGTCCAGGCTAATTTGATTCCCGACGCCGCCGCCGCCGCCGCCTCGCCCATCGCTCTTTCTCCTGACCGTTGCTTATCTTTTCACTGGACCAGTCCATCTTTCTCCTTGCTCGTCCTTACTACCTCCACCAACATACATTCGTTTCAACGCTTTGTCTCGCCTTCCTTCCATTCCATCTCAGTCGCCCACCATGCAGTTGAAGTCCATCCTCCTCGCTTTGGCTTTCAGTGCCTTTGCTCAGGCTCAGACTATTCACGGTTACACCAAAAAGGATTGCCCTAAGGCCGACGAAGAAACTGGTTCCGATGAAACGACCCGGGAGAAGTGTTTGACTCTGAAGAGTAGCAGTTACAAGTCTCTCAAGGGCAGTCCTGGTGACTTCGTCCTCACAGCATTTGCGGAATCGAGTTGTGACGGCAACGGCTATGCCCTGCCGCCCGGCAAGTGCATCAACGGCGACAAGTTCACTACCTACGAGGTATGTGCATGGGAGTGATGCTGGGACGGATGACTCTGGGGTTGCTAACACGACTGAACTTTATAGATCCAGTTCATCCCCATCACCAAGCGAAACAACGCAACGGCCCTGCTGGAGTTGTACGCCGACTACTACGCCGAATTCCCCGAGGAGGCTGAGGAGCTTAAACGCCAGGTCAACGAAGCGTAGGGCAGCAGATAAATGCCACTGTACAATGACCTTGTTGGATTCTGCATAGTTGAATGACTCGATTATTCTTTCTGAAGTCTTTGGAGTTTGGGATACCATATCTGCGACATTATTACTAGCACCATGGCACGGATGACAATACAAGCTATTCTCGTTTCCACTGGAGCCACATGGGAGGAAAATCTGAGTTGGAAGCTGATCGGTTGGGTTGAAAACCTGGAATACCATGTTGCAGGTCGCATGGAGGCCGCTGCGATGGAACCGATCTGAGCGACATCAGATGACTTGCTCATTTCTGGACTCCATGCTTTTAGCACGTCATTATTGTAGCTCAATTACATGAAATGGCCTGGAAAAGAGATTCGATAAAACTTGGTGAACCGATCTAGGAATGGCACCCTCCAGCGCTACTCCAGTCACTGCATGTCTTAAGTGAAGAATAATCGTGTTCCATGGATGCTAAGCTTGGAATATGTAGGACCGACTGATGGCTTTTGTGAACCGTCTAGAAGACATTCAGAATCCTATCACTATTGTCACTGTGGACAAAATGGCGCAGACAGCAGAATAGTTGTAATTGGACTTTACTATCTCAACCACCGACGGGCCTACAATCAAGATCACAACATCAACGCATAAGCAGATTGATTTCAAATTCAACTACTGAGAACTCATTACTTCCATTCTGGGATCAGTTCAGACAAAGAAGCCAGAACAAAAAAGGAAAAAAAAAAAAAAAAAAAAAAAAAAAAAAAAAAAAAAAAAAAAAAAAAAAACGATCACAAAGAAATCTTCCGTGAATAGGCTTGTCGCGGCTGATAAAGGCCACAGCCTAATCAGACGTCTAGCACAACGAAGCGGCACATGAGGCCAGACACACCGTACTGGCCAAAAATGCCGAGAAGCTCATGAGGAGATAGCTGTGCTAGTGTAAAGTGAAGTAGGCAAAGAGTAAAGGATGAAACCAGATCTATAATGAATTCCTTTGCAAATGATGTGATGGGGTTTACGGTCATTATATCTTCTTCATCGATCATGTTCGACGTCAGCATATATGCAAGAGAGTAAAAGAGCAGTAAAGTAAGTTTGCAGCAACGTCCTTTTGGAGCCATTGATCGTACTTTGTCACAGCCTGTTTTGGAACAAAGTTTGGTCGGTGCATTGGACATGCCTTAACGGGACGATTTTCACACGCAGTACTTCTGATAAACAAAGAGTTTCCTGGATCTGCATGACGAAAATGGATGACAAATGACAGTCCCATGAGGCACTGCCTGCACTGGCCTCTGCAGGGCTGGGAAGGTGGAAGATAGCAAGATGCATGGATGAAGCATATCAATCTCTCAGTGGCTACTATTCCACCATGGGGGACTTTTACTGCCACGATATGGACTCATAGTCATCCTGTTCAAACGTATCGCTCATACATTCCCCAACTACTGCAACCAAAGATGTCCCATTTGTGAACTCTGATGTTTCACGTCGCCGGAGAAATAAAGAAGGTTTCCGGTGATTTGGGACGAGGATGGGCAATTAGTATGCGCGCGTGGCAAGCGAGTGGCAGGTACTGTCATGACTCCGTCTTCTTTAAGTTGTTATCTTGGCTTTCTTATTGTTTGCAGAATCGATGACTTTTTGTATATGCCTGGGAACCCCATAAAATCATGCTGCGTCAGTTATCCACGTGCCCTGTGGGTGGCAATTCCATGACGGGCCAATAACAAGGTATCTTCGAGTTCTTTAGAAAAGCAGGGAGCTGACGCAGGTGACTTCTAGGAAATGATATGTGTGCCTTATATCAAGGTCTGGAATATGCAGTGGTGTGGAATTTGTATCCGGAGATAATGGGGAAGTTCATTGGTGGCTTTCCATGTTGATGCCCAGACTCAAACAATTACAACGGCGTGCCAATCGGCACGATTCAAACTAAGACGAATGCTCGTGTAATTATATACGGTTGAGACATTCACTGCAGCCAGGCAGCTGTCAGCTGATCCTTCGCCTCTTCTTCCTGCGTGGCCTCGGACCACCACCCTCTCCAATCTTCTTGAGATCTGAATAGATCAAATCCATATATCTTTGACCCTTCGTCTTGACATATACCAATCAGGCAATACTTCAAACAGCGCTCAATCTGGAAATACCTGATGTCTTCGGTATGGGAAATGAAACGAGCGGTATGACAGTGTACCTATAAGTTTCTTTTATCTATTGTAAGTTCTATCAAATGCAAATGTCTATAGCGAGAGTCTAAGCAGTTGGCCAGAAGAGAAACCTTCAGCAATTGCAGACCCTGCCACACGTCCTGCTTTAGTCATATCCGTAGCACAGGTAACCTCCCTGGGTGTTCATCACCTCGGCGATAGTGACGTTGGGCATGATGTTGAATGAGGAGAGTTCGTAGTGAAGAGTAGCGTTCTGCCAGCCTCCAGCAGGCTCCACGTTGGCTGTGTGGTTCAGAGTCGGACCACTGATGTCGTACAGCCGGTTGATGGGATCTTGCTGCTGCCACTTCCACCAAACCCGGTCGATGTACATGTGGTGCATGAAAAAGATTGGGTCGCCTGGGGAGGACTTGATATCCGCCATCTGCGCATTTCGTCAGTCAGTGCCCTGCATACGGCTAGGTTCGTACTAGGCACATACCACACCACCAATATAAGTGTGTACACCCTTGTGAGGGATGTTGGAGATGCAATTCCACCAAGGAGCATAGGTGTTATAGGCATTGCACTTCTCAAGTGCTGTGCTGTTGGCATTGGCAATCGCGTTCTTGGTGTCCCATGCGCGGCGCAAGCAGTAGTCCGTATCTTCATCGCCCGGCCCAATGTGCAGAGTGAGATTGGAAAACCGGCCGTCACGTACACAGGAGTCCGATCCGGTTCCATTGCCACCAAAGGCATCCGCTCCCCACATTGACGATTGCCACATGTTGCCGCTGTCAGCGTCCTTTTGCTCGTCCCACCAACTAATAGCAGTATCTGTTAGTTTTGGTGTCCATTTGAATGCGCCAAAGGCGGGAAAAATGGCAATACGTACGGCATAGAACCGCTGTAGCCACACTCATTACGAAGCAGGGCCTCGTATATGTGCATGTAGTAGCGGTGCCAGGGGAGAAATTGTCCCTAGCAAGGCTGTAAATGAGAGAATAGGCATATCACGAGCCATTGAAATTGACCTACCACATGGTGGATGATATCCGCATACGCCGTATTGGTCATTCCCCGGTGAAGGGCCTGAAGGTCACTAAACCGACTCGTAGTTGCCGTCAATCCGGATTGGGCCGGCTTGTTCATCAAGCATTGAACGGAGTCAAGGAAACTGTTCTGCTCGTGCGTGGTCAAGTGACGCCATTCCTTGCGGACAGTCATCTTCTCGCGAGTGCAGCTTCGACTGAAGAATCCAGGGATATCATGAGAAGTGGTCTCACTCTGGTCAGTACTAGCAGAGGAATGAGGGACTGCAGCAGCAGAGGTAGTGGCTGCCAGCGCCAATGCCACCGCGAACGACGAAACCTTCATCCTGTGAAGCAGAGAAAGAAAGAATCTTCTAAATTGAGATTGAGAAATAATCAGAGAGAAAGGAGAGATAAACGACTGTCAAAGGTAGGCTGAATATTGGAAAGAAAAGAAAGAGAGACTGAAGTACTATGTGAAGAATGAAGACCTCAAGAACTTAGCAGTAACCTATGCCTTTTATACCTCTCACTGTTCGAACCGATGAACCCAATTCACATCACAGGAGCCTTCTAATAATCCTTTCAACCACGGATCGGCCCTGAAAGTATCAATCGGGAAAGGTCCAAAGGTTTTTCGCCTATAAGACTGGAAAGCCGGTGACATGGGGATGGAGGAGCGTATTACGAACGGTCCACATCAGTAATAGAAGCGATTTGTATTCCAGGAGGCCAAGATTACAGCCACACCCAGAAAGGGTCATGCTGGATCCTCCTTGAACAGACGTTTAGCATCTTCCAGCGACAACGAAGGGCCGAGGTCGTTGCGGCAGGCACACGTTCCGGACACTGGATGATAGGGGCACCGACACAGGATGGTCTGTCAGATGGACGTACTACACAATCTTTGGGCTCAGGTATACTCTGAAGACAGCTCAGAGTGGAGTATAGGAGAAGATGATTCTATAATTGGAGACATTGGTGGGCTACAAGTATTGCGCAGCGATAATTCACGGATTTCCTTCCGGGATGTAGGAAAGACACCTCAGATGGACCAGATGCCGGTGATGCAATTTTGCTCAGTAACAGTCAAACGCGCAGTTCTCTCTACAGCTACTGAGAGCCTGGAATTTGCCTGCACATGGGAATAGCTTCAAGAAAGTGAGCCATGCGTAAGGCGCCCCGTCGAAAATACGTAGGGCAGGGCTTGGCGCGCCCCAGGCGAGGGTCTTGACGCGCGTCGGTACTCAACCAGTCAAGCAAAACTTTGCTCAGACCCGACTTGTCGAAAAGCTAGAAAAAGCTAATCGCCAGTAGAGAGATAGAGAGTAGATATAGGGGTGGATCAGCCAAGGGCCCATCATTCTGTTCACTGTCAGTGTCAAGCGGCCGATTATCTCGATTCTTGATGGCAGCCGACCAATTTGCCGACCCACCCTTGCCCGTCGGCAAAAAACGGCAGGGATTGACCAGAGAAGTCTGCAGTGCTCTGGCTTTTCTTCCACTCTCTTGTTTAGTCCTGACTCGAGCAAAGAACGAATGATGCTTGTAGCGTGGGTATTTAGAGGGAGGAGGACTGCTTGGCAGCAATCTCTGCAGCAAAGACTGGACTGCTGGTGGACCGCGCTCTCGATGCTGCGGGCTTTGCCGAACAAAAACTTCCTATCATTGATGAAGCCATGATCTTATCTTGGGAACTCCTCCAACTTTAGACTCATGAAAATGAGAGATGTTTATGTCAGCGGCTCCAATGCGTCAGTCGCATCCCTTGCTCCAGAGATGGGGTTCTCCGTAGACCAGACCAAAGAGTCAGTGTGGGTCATATATCCATACTATCGATGACCTACGACCAACATGGTGGGGCGCAGGTGAAACCTTCGCTTCTGCAGAGATGCAAATACACATGGAGGCGATGGGGAAAGAGAGTGAGGGCATAGGGCTTATACAGAAGGTCCGGTTAGCAGACTGGCATTACACCACCCTGAGAATTGATGTCTTCAAAGTTGCTGGATGGCGAGCAGTCACTCAGTCTTTGCCTCACATATGAGAGAGCAGGTTGGGGGACAGATTACCATTCTTTCGGTTTCTTTATGCCCTCCGAAGTGATTGGAATGTGCGAGGTCTTCAGCATGAGGCGTATAAGCTTCTCTTGGCACGGAAGACGCGGCCTCGAGCCACGCGATATATATGCGGGCCATCTAAGCACGTTGTAAGCCGGCTGTTTGAAACATGCAATCTGATCCACCCGATTACGAGAGGGCCTGTGATCCGTCTGCTGTCGTTCCACATGATTGAGAAGGAAGTGCGTTGGGAGGTTCTCATCTCGTACCCCTGAGAGGGCGAGTCCGTGGATACTACTCCCTCTCAAGGCGCTTCAGACTTCCAAACGGATGAAAGACAGCGTCGGTTAGATCCCCGAGAAATGGGAGTAAGTTTTGCGTTACCTCATCGCTCAACTGAAAGTCCTCTGAGGAGATGGCGTGTCTAGCCTTTCTGTATTTCGTGCTCTATCCGTTTTGATGTTGGTGTTCGTCTTTCAGGCCTGGGAGCCTTCCCCCTTATAAGTGATGAAACTGTGAATGACTCTTAGGCAAGAGGCTCGGTGAAGTGTTAGCCACTTACAATGGCTTCCGCATGATCAGTCTCCGGGCATGCAAAGCGGGCAGTGACATTTAACTAAAGACAGTCAACACGTCCACAGCAAAAATAAATAAGCCTTTGCCGAAAACTTCACATGATCCACAACAAGTCTCTACATGTCATTGTCTTGAACTGACATGATTTTCTTGGTCAAATACCCACCAACTGCACAATTTTCGATTACCTTTCGATACCGATTTAAATGTGTCGATAGTCCAATCTTCAACAAACGGACCCTCTGCGTCTCGCTGTCATGGACTGCTTGTACCTAGTTGTGAACGGTGATCGCCCGAGCGGCGAGCTGCCAGCTTCTTCTAGCAACGATCGACATCGGGTCAATCTTCGGTACCGGTAACTTCAATCTACACCTGGCATTGTTCATCAAGGACCTTGGGAGTCGATCTGGTGCCTATCCTGCTAATGCCGCTCATGTTAGGATCCTCAAAACAGTATGAATCTACAATCGAACCGAACCTGATCTGCAGCAACTCCACATAACTCAGCGATGCAGTTTGAACTGGTATATCCTCTTGGCCGTCCATCCCAAAAGGATAAGCTAGATGGAATGGCCCTTTCTGGGTGCTAAGAAAATACGAAGCTCTTCCCTGTGTCCAATCAAGTGAACTGAAATGGCCCAGTTACAACATATTCAACTGATTCCTGTCTATGGGTACGTATCTAGCCAAGAAAACTTCGGATGCGAAGTTACTAAGTATTGCAGACGGCGCTCCCTGTCGCGCGCGTCGAGTCGCCCTCAACCAAGGTTCATCGTCATTTCAGACTCGCCAAGGCTCTGTAGCCACAATAGCATGATCATACCGGGAGAATCAATGGTGCAGCACCTCTGATCTCGTCCAGCGGAGCTGGTTCCCACGCATGCGGACATCTGTTCCCCATTTGGACAGATATCCGCTTCGCCGTTGTGATTGATCCCCGAACTATCCGGTCCTGGAACTATATGGCTTCTACAGTGGAAGTGTTAAAACCCGGACAACGGTAGCGATGATAAGAGATGCATCATGGCGAAGCAGCGACATGCATCCTACAAAGCGGGGCTGAAGCAGTTGGCGCCGGGGATGAAGTGGATATCCCGACGGACTCCGGCCCGTTGCCTTTTGGCCACGCCTGACCCCTCATGCCGGCACTTATGCCTCTTCAGGGGCTGATCTTCAGTCTTCTCATACATTTTCACATTGAGGCAGACTTGGGGTAGAGTTGGTAGCAAATTTGGCAGATGGGCTGCATTCTATCTCACCTGAATATCCAGTATTTGACATCCAGCCCCAGGTTTCTACAGCGGGCGGAAACTCGCTCTTCGCGATGCAGATTCTGCATGGCTTGCTATTGCCGAGGAGAAGATGCATAATGTGAAGGTTAATTAAATTGATTTCTCCGGAGTTTACAGGCTCGGTAAGGCACAAGCCACTCAATCACCCCCATTCTTCATCCTAAATGAAGTTTATCTGCCACACACGGGACGATCTTCAAGGAACCAATGGACTGTTCCTCTCGTTATCATCACGCCATGACCACACGTCGTCATCGTTGGGGATGGTAGTCTGATGGACATTCCGCTTGAGGCAAAGTGCGCTTCAATGTCACGCGGTTTAGCTGGTCTTCTGCAGGTCTGCAGTGGGACAAGAGAGCTCGAGAGCCGATACCCCTAAGTTGAATGTTCTCTACCGCTTCGATACCAGCATGATCGTTCCTTTGCTGTCGCTATCAGGGTTGTGAAGTAAATTTTGTTCGTCCACATATGGGAACCACAGATCTATGCCTGGTGCTTGAAAAGACATTCCGTGATCCTTCCGTTACCAAGAATGCTTGTAACTTTGAAGCTTTTTTTTCCAAGACCCTCCGCATCGCCAGTCCCGAACTAAGCGAAATGAGCTTTTTCTCAATGCTGCAGACAGGAGACACCATCGCTCTGGCGCCTTGGCACCATCAGCCACCGTCGGTCCTATCACCATCGCCCTGGTTGATAGGCGAATGCGTCAATTTAGTATCAGGGTAGTGTTATCTGCTCGATATTGCACTGGCAGAGCAGGAATCGGAATTGGCGGATAAAGAGGAAAATGAGCTTCAAGGAGGGGGGAGAGGGGACACTGAAGGGGTATAAAATCAAGGCCAACTCCCTACCAGACAGTCCTCATCCAGCAGCATCTAAACAGCTTCCACTCAGATTCCAAGCATCTCCCAGTGTCTCTTCAAGTCATTACTTTACATACATCTCTCTATCAAGATGAAGACCACTGCTCTCTTGACCGCTGGCCTGCTGGCCACCTCTGCTATGGCCGCTCCTCTGACGGCCAAGCGCCAGGCTGCTCGGGCCAAGCGCTCCACGAACCGCCAGAGCAACCCTCCCTTCAAGCCTGGCACCAACGAGGTCCTTACCCTCAATGGCACCAAGAACGTCGAGTACAGCTCCAACTGGGCCGGTGCCGTCCTGATTGGCACTGGCTACACTGCCGTGACCGCCGAGTTCGTCGTGCCCACCCCCTCGGTGCCCTCTGGTGGCTCGAGCCGCGAGGAGTACTGTGCCTCCGCCTGGGTGGGCATTGACGGTGACACCTGTGACACCGCTATCCTCCAGACCGGTGTGGACTTCTGTGTCCAGGGCAGTGAGGTGAGCTACGATGCCTGGTACGAGTGGTACCCCGACTACGCCTACGACTTCAGCGGCATCTCCATCTCGGCCGGTGATACCATCAAGGTCACCGTCGATGCCAGCAGCGACACTACTGGTACCGCCACGATTGAGAACGTGAGCACCGGTACCACGGTCACCCACAGCTTCAGTGGGGGTGTCGATGGCGATCTGTGTGAGTACAACGCTGAGTGGATCGTCGAGGACTTTGAGGAGGATGACTCCCTGGTTGCCTTTGCCGACTTTGGCACCGTGACTTTCACCAGCTGCTCCGCTACCAAGGATGGCTCGTCTGTTGGTCCTGAGGATGCCACCATCATCGACATCGAGCAGAACGAGGTCCTGACCTCCGTTTCCGTCACCGATAGCGAGGTCGTCGTCAAGTACGTCTAAGACGTTGGAGGTGTGAGGCTTGGGATTGTTGAAGCTTCGATGGATGTATTCCGAAGGCAATGGTGAGATGAGTGATGGAAAGGAGGGGTTGGTCTTTTGGCCTGGGGCTGCCCCTTTGTTGATACTTCTGAAAAGCAAGTGTTGCAACTGTTTGTCTCTTATTGTATATGATGTTATAGTTTGCCTTGAGTTGATTTAATGAAACCAACGTTGGGACTACTGGATTCCCTTAGCGCCATTAGGGTATGACGTACGCCCATCAAAGATTACGCATCTCTGCGAACGGACTATCAGCCCCGAAATGTCAACGAACAGTTGGTCATTTGGCAAATCAGGACTCAGGAAACTGAACTTCGGCCATACACCCCATTACTGTATAAAATGCACCGATGTGCTCGAGCATTTACAATATTTTGAGGATACATGATATGATACATTTTGATGCTATCACTAGCACTCAATCTAGCTGTCCATGGAGGCCAGTCGGATATCTTACACGCCGAATCTGAACTCGCGCACCTTCTTCTGATAGTAGAAAGACGCCAACAGACCCGTCGCACCCAAAGCCATGGGAATAGGAGCCTTAGCACGGGTCTTGATCGTGCGCATGAGACCGGAGACGAGGAGGACCACACTGTTTCCCAGGGCCAATTCCGTGCCGTAGTCCTTGTTCTCCTTGATCAGGTAGCCTGTCAATTCGACATCAGTATGTGTTTCTTCTTGTACCTGCATCATGTGGGTGCTACGTACCTGCGTAAGCATAGGAGAGACCCAGGCCGACACCGGCGATCAGGGACGGAGCGGAACGCGTCCGCATGTAGCCGGCGATGCCACCCACCGGCACTGTTAGAGTTGTCAATTGATTAGCCCATGTCTGGTGAATTGATGCAGTTAGGGAGGTGTCAGCTTACGCAGGCAAGCCAGAGTGAAAGACGGGTGTTCAGCCATGGTTTTGATGCTTGGATAACTTGAGGAGACGGATGGAGAAAGTAACTCTAAAGATGAACCTCTTGTCATGTTGGTGTCCTTCTCGGCATTCCGGATGCTCGGAGAGCGAGAGGTCCGAGCACGAGCAGCCAATCAGATGTGGTAGTAACGCTTGACACAAGCTGGCATATATACTTAGGAATTCTGTGCTGTTTCTGAGTATTTCCTAGAAGTTCGATAAATTTTGTCTATTACATATGATTGATGAGGTAGTGCTTTCATTATATTGACAGTGTGGATTGAAAGAAAACGTGTCAAGTATCTCTGCGAGCGAACTTTTCAAAGAGGTTTATAAATATATGTACATATATATATATATATATATTTAGTACTAGCCACTTTATATAGAAAGCGAGGTACACTGGATATCAATCATCAGTACTACTAACTCGGGGAGGTGAACATATTGTCCTAGGCAGAAACATGTAAGCACTATTAATTATCAAGGATTGGGGCCTCATAATTAAGGATTCAATATTGATAAAGATAGTAGTAGAGGACTAAAGCACGTGATGTGGACTTCCCGAAGAGGGAGTTCGGCTCTCCGCCTGCCCAATTCAGAGCGTGGCATTAATCTCACCGCCCGGCCATGATGGGTGGGGTGCCTGGGGTTCTTGGAAAGTGTCATCTTTCTCATGGCTAGTTATGGCTCATCAATCTGTTGACTTGATATACAGACAGCATTCCTATTTCTCATCCTTTCAAACCCCCTTGTCATATAACCTCCCGCCCGAAGCTAGATCCAGCGCCACTGCCTCTTGCAATCCCAACACATTGAATATATCCCGCGGACTCCCCCCCGCTCGCACCGCCTGCGTGCCGGTTTGCTTCAATTGTTGTACCGCTCCGCGAACCGCCGAGTAGACTGCACCCAATGCCAATCCAGGGAAGATGATCAGCCGAAACCCGAGCTCCTGCGCCTGATGAACCGAGAGATCTGGCGACACACCCCCGGGAACATTGTTGAAGAGAACGGGGGTGGGCTTGAGCTCTTCACAGACCTGTCGAGCTTGATCCGTGGACGTGATGCCTTCCAGGAAGGCTACGTCTGCCCCGAGGGCGATGGCTCCCTTGAGTCGGGAAATGGCGGCATCATACCCCAGTGACTGGAGGGCATCCGTCCGGGCAATCAGAACAATATCACCGTGGGACCGGGCGCGAGCATTCACGGCGGCTTGGATGCGGTCCAGATATTCGTCCTCGGGGACGAGTTGCTTGTTGCGCAAATGACCACAGCGTTTACTCGTCGGCTGGTCTTCCAGGTGCAGAGCGGCCACTCCGGCGCGGATGTATTCGGTAACGGTGCGGTGGACCATGAGAGATCCTAGTATGCCTGGTCAGCCACTGAATCTTGTCATTGGTGGCGGAACAGTACCTCCGAAGCCCGTGTCAGCGTCAGCAATCAGCGGAACTGTCGGGTCCAAATTGGCGATCATCTCTGCATTCCCCCGCATTTCGTTCAATGTGACGACCCCCAGGTCCGGCTGTCCCAGTCGCGAGGCCGTCGTGCCTGCTCCTGTCTGACAAACAGGGTCAGTTACGAAGGTAGAACCCCCGACCAGCAGTGATTGGTGTAGTACCTACCATATACAATGCATCGAACCCCTCCTGGAGGGCGATTTGGGCAGTAAAGCCATCGTAGACCCCCGGACAGACAATAATCTTGCTCTCATCCGCCAAGAGCTGGCGAAGCTTGGTAACCGCAGGAGCAATGGCCATTGTAATGTGTGCAGTGAATCTATGGAGGCGTAGTTAAGCGCAATTGAGGGGTTTCAGCAACAGCAGCAGCAGCAGCAGCAGCAGCAGCAGCAGTGCTCGATGGTGCCATGTGATGATGTTATATCATACTTGTGAATCCTCCGGGCCGCAAGCGGGCCGAGACCGGGAATGCCACGATCCCCCATTTCATATATTAAGATGCTGTCCTCACAGCTCCCTCGAGGAGGAACCCCGCTCAGAGATGCTCGCTCAGTAAGCCTTTCTAGTAATCCAATTTCATCATGAGTGATGCCAGCGAACCCAGGTCTCCTTATCTGCTGCAAGTACTGCAGCAAACCCGGGGTGTCATCCTCTCGGAGACAGACAGTACGTTTGGGACATCAGAGAAATACACAGCAATAATTTCACTAACCCGATGAAGCGTACGCATTGCCAACCATAGGGAATCTACTTAAACAGCTGGTGCGAGTAGTCGATGCACTTCGGGCGCAGGACTACCCTCGGGAGGCCAATGCCCTCACTGATGTCCTCTCGATAAGCCAACAACCCACGGAGATAGGAGGACTCGGTTTATCCGCAGCAGACAGTCTAACACCCGAGCAAGAAGCCGAAATTACGTTCCTGGTCACAGCATGGCTCGAAGCCTTGAACTCGGCCGATCGCGCCAGGGCACCACCTGTTCCACTCGCGGTCCGACCCTCCGGTCGACGTGGCATGACGCTGAGCGAGAAGATCTTTGCGCTGCACGATATTGAACAGAAGGGGTCCGTAGCACCCGGAGAGTTGATCCGCGTGGACGTCGACTGGGTTATTGCTTCCGAGGCTTCATGGCAGGTACGTTTTCTCACCCGGCGCCGAGCTACATATCCAGATGCTTACCGAAAGTCTCATAGGGCATGGAACGAACTTATGAGCTTCTCGGGAAGCCTGGAATCTATCGGAATGATCGGTTCTGGCTAGCGGGTGATCATGTCGTGGACCCCCGGGTGAATGACAATCCCAAAGTTAAGGCATTGATTGACACCAGTGAGAGGGCTAAGCGCGTCTTCAAGATGACCGACTATCAGGGCATGAACGTAGGTCTATTACAGAGTTGCAAGTCTGCACCGCTCTTGCTTACACGCTGTAGTATACTATCCTTCATACCGAGTTCTACCGCGAACGAGCACAGCCGGGCATGGTGGTCGTGGGTTCCGATTCCCATACCTGTTCATCTGGAGCATTAGGCTGTCTGGCCATTGGGTTGGGAGCAGCCGATGTGACTCTTCCGTTAGTGACAGGAGAGACGTGGTTCAAGGTCCCTGAATCGGTCAACATTCGTCTAGTCGGTGCGCCTAAACCCGGAATTGGTGGGAAGGACACTATTCTGTACATTCTGCAACAGCTGAAGCGGAACACTGTGGCCGCGGACCGGATCGTCGAGTTCACCGGGCCAGGAGTTAAGCATCTTTCATGCGATGCTCGATTTGCCATTAGCAACATGACCACGGTCCGTCTATTGTCTCGTACAAAGGCTGAAGATGTGCTAACGGTCATAGGAATTTGGCGGAATTACCGGTATTTTCTTGCCAGATCGGATTACAGAAGAATTCATCCAGAAGCGACGCCTGCCCCGACACAAAAACACCAGCGTCTACTTCAAACCCGACGATGACGCCGAGTACGCTGAAACCCATGAGATAGACCTTGGCGAGGTCCGGTCGTTCTTGGCCAAGTACCCCAACCCTGACGACGTCGTTCCTGTCACCGAGCAGGAAGGAATGCATCTGGATGGGTGCTTTATTGGTGCTTGCACTACTGCCGAAGAGGATCTGATTCTCGGTGCTCTTGTGCTGGAACAAGGGCTACAGCGTGGTATGAAGCCAGTTTCTCAGGGGAAGAGAAAGGTTGTTCCGGGGTCAGTACCTATCCTACACAGACTTCGTGAGCTAGGTCTTGCACAGATCTACGAGGATGCTGGATTTGAGATCGGCATTCCGGGGTGCAGTTACTGCGTCGGCATGTCGGCCGACCAGGCTGGGCCAGGAGAAGTCTGGATCTCGTCGCAGAACCGCAACTTTGAGAATCGTATGGGCAAAGGTACGTTGATAACGCGTGGGCGACGATGGCGACATTAGTCTAACTGCAATGCAAGGGTCCATCGGAAATCTTGCATCTGCTGCCACAGTTGCTGCTTCGTCGTTTGAGATGAAGCTGAGAGACCCACATGGATTTCTCGCAACCATCGACTTGGAAAGATGGCATACCCTTCGTGGTATTTCTGTATCTGCAACAGACACTACACAAGACCAGATTTCTTACATGGAGCCCAGTAGCTCCGCGACCGCAGAAACAAAGAACGCCGGCCCGACAGATTTAGAGTCGTCGGAGGTGGATACTTCAGAGACAGCAGATAGCTCTTCGTCCGACGTGATGACAGGCAAAGTGCAGCGCCTGGGCGATTTCATCGATACTGATGCTGTATGCTGTCCCCTACCTTCCAAAGCCCGTCATAGCAGCTAATAAATACTAGCTGGCTCCTGCCCAATTCCTTATCGGCATGTCAGACAATAAGATCGCAGGCGAGCACTGCCTCGAGCACACCCACCCCGAATTTCGCCAGCGTGTCAAAGACGGGTTCGATATTGTCGTGGCAGGCAAAGCATTTGGATGTGGATCGTCCCGTGAACAGGCGGTTATGGCACTCTTAGGTACGTCTGTTTCATATTCTTCATTGCCAATGTCCTTCTAATCCCATAATACACAGGCTGCGGCGTGCAGTGTGTGATTGCCAAGTCATACTCGTTCATCTTCCAGCGTAACATGCCCAGTCTGGGTCTCTTGGGCATCACCCTGACTGACGAGGCATTTTACGACGTCGCTGAAGATGGTAACGAGATTTCCATCGACTTCAAGACCAAGGTGATAGACGTGGATGGGAAGCAGTTCAGGTTCCAGTTGAGTCAGATGGAGCGGGAGCTCTTTCAGCATGGCGGTATCGCGTCGGCATTCCAAAAATTTGGAAACCGGCTGTTTGAGCAGATGACCAGACCGAAAAATCTGGGGAGTGCGAAGTCACTTGCGCTGCATGGGAGTGGGGATAGTGCTGGCCCGCATGCAGGATTGCAGTGGTAGTAGCTTGCTATCGTGGAGATGGTCTTCTGTAAATAAGGAGCTTTACTCTTAGGATATCCGTTATGCATGACAGCCGTGTGACGATAGGCAAAAGCAAGTTACTGAACGCAGTGTGTCAACACCCCCCAGGAGCAGTGAAGATTTCCCCGTCCAAGCTAAAAGGCAACAACGCAAGCAACTCTGCATCGACAACATCCTCCAGTGTCAATCCATCTGAACAAGCATCTTCCATACCCACCGAAAAATTAGTGGTAGCCTCCTGGCCAGCCGAGCCTGTCTCCCGGGCGCTTAGTCCCCCGCGCTGCTCCATAGCCCTATTGTCGGTGAAGTGCCCGCGACTCGCAAGAGGTGTATTCGTCCCACTGCGTGGCTGTCCACCAAACTGCTCCCTCCACATCCACATGGAATCATGGACTAAACTGGCAGCCAAACGCGTTTTCAGCCTCAAGCCTGGGGGCTTGTCCCGCTGCCCGCGATAAATATTTTGAGCACTCCACAACTGGGTGAGAATCTTTGACATGCGTCCCGGGAGATCATTGTCCTCGATAGATATCCGACGGGTTAGGGCAATGGCAGAGTTGAATGAGCGTTTACCGGTCTCTAGGTCTAGGTACGGGCCGAGGTTCGAATAGCTCAGTTTGAGTATGAATATGGCTGCGAGAGAGATGATACGGAAATAGGACACGGGCCCGTAGGCCATGGCGTCGGTGAGGGCTTCGAGTTGGTTGATAATTGCTATGGTGGAGATTGACATGCTGTATGCGCGGATGAGCCCGCGTTTACGCGTGTCGGAGTCGGATTCTTCGAGTAGGTAGAAGACGTAGAGTTGGAGACCGATGCCATTTAGAAGGACTTTGTTCTCTTCTGTGGGCAATGTTAGCAATGATGGGATGAGATAAATTGGCGTGTGTGACGGACCTGATATGAAGCTGGTCAAAGTAGATGCCAGCTCGGTGTATTCTCGCTCTAGTAGGGCCAGAAGGGAGATGAATTCCCCTGGACGAGGAAGATCCGTTGGGCCCTGTGAGTGGCTGGACATGAACTGACCTACCCGGGCCGAAAAACGTGATATGAGGAGTTGATGTTTGAGGGACGTCGGGATCATGGTACTGTCCCGGTCACAAAGCCGATCGATCATCCAGTCTGATGAGACCCATACTTGCCCGTCTATGGTTACGATTCTGTGAGGATAGTTGAGTCAGATAGCTACGACAAAACATGGCTAAAGCAGAGAGTCACCTACGTTTGAGCGGTGATATAGCAGGTCGCCCATGTTCGAGCTACTTCGGCCATCTCATCCGGCATCAAACGTTTTTTGGTTCGGGAGAAATCCTGGATGGCTTCTGGTCGATGCAGCCCGATGCGGAGGGAGATAGTCTGTGCGGTGGATAAAAGAATGGATGTAATATCGGAGGAAAGAGATGAAGTGGGAAATGGCCACAGACACACTAGGATGATAGCCTGCACGACATGCCAGGTGTGCGGGGGATTGGCGATGGTATCCCATATGAGCTTCTTGACGGGAGCCGTGAGACTGACAAACAAGCCAGGTTCTTCCGTATATCGACGAGAGGCCAGCAGAATTATGGACCAGAATAACACTGCAGATCGAGCATAATATTGGTTCGGGGAGATGGTTGGATCCAACAAGGGTACGTAGGGATGATAGTGAGTGAAGAAGCTACTGGCATTAGCTTAAAGATAGGTAGCATGCTGACCAATCTTACATGTTGAAAAGAGCATTTACTTGAAACCCATGGAGGTGGACAAACTCTAGCGACCTGGATGAGGTTGGGGACGCCGTGTCGGTAAGTAAAGGCGACGGTTGACTAGGTTGCTGGGATAGCAAGGAATGTACGGGAGTTGTAGGTTCTACTGGCAAAGGTGGCATTTGGGAAGCCACCAGATCTACTCGCGACCCTGAGGGTTCTTGAACGATGATAGAGGAGGCATCGGCATGGTACGATTCGCTGGGGGTGAGGAGAATGCCTTGGAGGGACTGTGGCGCGGCAGCGGGAGGATGAGTGGAGACGGATGAGCGCAGATGCTGAACTTCCTTCTCCAGTTCTTCTAGTCTCCTATATGGTATCAGAATGTGTGTATTGGAAGCGACGAAGTAGCCCTTTATGGCCAGTGAGGTATACTCTCGCCCGTTGACACGTTGATACGCCACATCAAGCCGGCATTCGTAGCCCAGCCGGCGACATCGGGAGCAGGGGATAGCACCACCTGTGGATACCTCACATCGAAGCTAGGCCATATAGTCAGCTACGAAGAAGAACAGAGGCGGGCTAGTATCATAACTAACCTTTGACTGGCGACATTGCCTGCAGGCAATCCGCTTACTGCGATGGCGCGGGAAAGGGGACTGGGGCGCACGTTGGGGTGGCATGCTGAACGACTAGAAACCCATTCTCCGAAGAGTAAGCACCAGGAAAACAATCCTGCAGCAGATGACGTGAGAGGTAACTAGCTACAGAGTACAATGCTTAGGTCGACCTTTCCTAGGAGAGATAGAGCAAGAAGATGTGTACAGATAGTGAGTTACTGTCAGCCTGGTCGGGGCTTTGTTTTTCCCTCTTCTGGTCCTTTCCGTTCGCGGGCCGAATATACCCAAACAGGGTTTAGTGCCATTATGGGCGGCCCGAGGGGTATCTGTCACCATCCCAATCGGCAAGTTCAGGGTTGTTGATTATTCCGGCTGCCTTAATTGGACATTGATTTCGATTCATGAGCATTTGCGTCGGATGTCAGTCGGTTGCGCGACGGAGCAGAGTCGGCCATGCAGATGGGCATATCCGATAGGCTTGATCTGCGTGATAAGGGTAGCCCGCGAGTGCCACAGCCGACTCCGTGCATCTTCGTCTAGATGAAAAAAGCACTACTATGTATGTGTGCTGATGGGTAAAGCATGGCGTTCCATAAAGCTTATTGTATCAGTTCGACATGATGGAAATATTTGTAGCCGAATGGGTTAGTATATTAACGATCACACGCTTCTGTACTCAGCAGATTACAAAACCCACGTAGACCTCCAATCATGGTCAACACCCCGCCTGCATCGTACGATAGTGGAGTGAAAACTTTGAGTGGAAGGAAGAGGGTCCTTGTATGATGCTGGGTCATACATACGGCTTTACACTTCTATATAGTCATGCAGTCCTGACGTTAAGGATATGCGGTCAATGCTTAAACGCGCACACATGCCGAATCCTACGCCGGGATCGTCTATTCAGTGAACGGTGAATCGTTCGATGGATCGTCCCTGGTCTGATCCAGGGCCAATCTGCCGCAGGGGTAAGTCCGCTTTCATAGCTTGGTAGCAGCATAACCTCCGCGTCCAAATAGGTTAGACTAATGGCTCATCTACACCCACGACGCGTACTCAAAATGCGAACTACTACTATCTTAGATTGAACTTGGTAGGGAAATTACAACTGCCGAGAAGGCTGTCTCATTATGAAACATGGCGAAGCAGGCAGTCGTTCAGCCATCTCCTTTGGGAACGGGACGCTTGCCTTGCCCAACAAGGTAATATCTGAATACGATCTGACTATCTAGAGATTCCATATCCTAAGCGAATGCGCTCCCTAGCCCATATTAGGAAATAATCAAGAGAGAGTGGGACGAAACGTAATCGTTAATTCTATCCGTGATGTAGTCGGCGAATATTCGGGGAATCCCCACAACTCAGGGCCTTATGCCAAACCCGCCCGGGAAAGAGATCTGAGTGCGATGATGCCGTGCTTGTGGAGACGGACGGGAAGCCGAACAGTCCCTGGACCCTATGCCATATGGCACAGTCCACATTAAGCATGAATCAACGCATGTTCCATTCCCAGGCAAACCGCGTCCAAAGCTACCAATATTGCATGTCTACACTCAAAATGGAACTGTCAAGACAGGGTGAAACGCGTCAGCAGAGCTCGAGTTCTGAGACAACAATATGTGTGCCGTCCACCGTGCTTGGGGAAGCCTTCCACGGGCAAGAGGTGGTGAGGCCACTTAGAGAAGACTAGTACGGAGGTGCAGATGAAAAACTAAGCGGAAAAGTTGCGTTGTCTATGGATCGTCATGAACAGGGCATGATTTACCTCTCTTGTATGAAAACTTCCTTACATTGAATAGACAATGATCGTCGCGGTCTGAATCTATAAAGAACACGCCATGCCCCAGTCACAGCTGACAGTAAAACTAACTCCTTCACTAAGTCATTCGCTCGTTTTTCATTCGTTTATTATTTGATACAGTTTGAAAATGTTCGCCAAATTGTCCCTCCTTTCGCTTCTTTTCAGCTCTGCTGCGCTGGGCGCCTCCAACCAGACTCTGTCCTATGGCAACATTGACAAGTCTGCCACCCCTGGCGCCAGAGCGCTCCTGAAGTACATCCAACTTCAGTATGGATCGCACTACATATCCGGACAGCAGGACGTCGATAGCTGGAACTGGGTCGAGAAGAACATTGGTGTGGCCCCTGCCATCCTCGGCAGCGACTTCACCTACTACTCGCCTTCGGCTGTTGCCCACGGCAGCAAGTCTCACGCGGTCGAGGATGTAATCCAGCACGCCGGTCGCAATGGAATCAATGCCCTGGTTTGGCATTGGTACGCTCCCACCTGTCTGCTCGATACCGATAAAGAGCCGTGGTACAAGGGATTCTACACCGAGGCTACCTGCTTCAACGTGTCTGAGGCCGTCAACGACCATGGTAACGGCACTAACTACAAGCTCCTGCTGCGTGATATCGACGCCATTGCTGCTCAGATCAAGCGCCTGGATCAGGCCAACGTGCCCATTCTCTTCCGCCCGCTCCACGAGCCCGAGGGTGGCTGGTTCTGGTGGGGTGCCCAGGGTCCTGCTCCCTTCAAGAAGCTGTGGGATATCCTCTACGACCGCATCACTCGCTACCACAACCTCCACAACTTGGTCTGGGTTTGCAACACTGCTGATCCGGCCTGGTATCCCGGAAACGACAAATGCGACATCGCCACCATCGATCACTATCCCGCCGTTGGTGACCACGGAGTCGCGGCCGACCAGTACAAGAAGCTCCAGACTCTGACCAAGAACGAGAGAGTGTTGGCTATGGCAGAAGTTGGCCCCATTCCGGACCCCGATATGCAGGCTCGTGAGAATGTCAACTGGGCTTACTGGATGGTTTGGTCCGGTGAGTTCATTGAGGATGGTAAGCAGAACCCTAACCAGTTCTTGCACAAGGTGTACAACGACACCCGGGTTGTGGCTCTGAACTGGGAGGGGGCTTAAGCGGACGTGGTAGATTACCATGGGGGGAGTTAAATCCTGAGGAGTGTTGAGCAAGCGGGAGAGAGGAAAGTTGTGGAAATTACTAGGCTACTCCGGAAGTGGCCATCCTGGCAGTCAACAGTCACTCGAAGCGCCTCCTTAGCTAGTGTGTACGATCGCCATACAGAAATAAACAGTGTATTACATTGGATCTTTCCCCGTACCGACCTCAATCGCAATGCGAGCATCCCCCGCCCCAACAGCCAGACTATGTTTTGGACTTCGTGAGTCTCGACATCAAGGGGCAGCCTGCCCTCACGACTGGCAACTACAGCACTGGGATCATGGGCGGCCTGCCCGCATCGTTGCCTAATTGCTCTGATGCAGGAACGGCGTTTCTTCAGAGTTCTGATAGAGAGTCGTTTCATGATGCAGAAGGACCGGCTGGTGCGTGAGAGGCGCCGTGCCCTCTGCGGGATGCAGTTGCTCCAGAGCTGACCTTCACCATCGGCACAGATGGTCAGAACATCGCCCTCCCCTAAGACTTCTCCAATTTAGGCGAGTATCCAGGGCAGCCAGGAATCTGTCAAGCAATCCTTAACAGCCCCTCGGTGCCTCTTGAGGATCAAATGGGAGAAGGGCGTGCCGCGTGGCGGGTGTGATCCCCCTTACTGAAAGCATATCATACCCTCTGGAATGGCCTGGATCTTCGGGTGGTATTTTTGCCACAGCGGTGGCACCTTTCATCTCGTAGATGACTATTGGGATAGGCTGGCCGTGCCGATTACACTACAATTATTGAGGTTACCACATCGACGATACAATATGTATGACCCTGCGGGTACACATATGTAATCAGCAATCCACTGGGTGCTGCGTGTTAGTATATCCTGGACAGGAAAGAGTCTGCACTAACGAGCTGCAAATAGGACGGATGACTATAAATAGGTGTCAGTCGTCGAAAGTTGCATCACTTTCCGAGGTTCAAAAACTAGTTACACAGCAGGTAAACAAGAAACCAACTGCTGCGGAAGCTGTAACGCAAGGGGAGACACAGCCTTATCTCGTGCAGTCCGAGATGCATACGCGACTTCCGGCGGTGTGAAGATTGCCATGTTATTGGGGTTGAGATGTCACATTCCGCCATCGCAAAATTTTTTTCCTGTTGGGTAGTAGCTTACCTAAGTTAACATACTGTGAACTGTTCACGTAGTGATTGGATGGACCCATAGAGCATGAGGTGAAAAGATAAGAAGTAAAGAAGTAAGACGGAACCGTAAGAGTGTCATTCCACGGTATTGGATATGCTCTTGAATGTTTCTAGGCTCGGCTGCTTGAAGTGGAGCACAAATACTAGTCATCATCAGTGTGAAAGAAATACGAAGAGTCTCAATACAAAATATATTCTAGACTAGCTCTAGCCTTTGATGCCTCATGAAAGTTGAAGGTTTTCGCCAAGTAATATATACAGTAAGGTACCGTCTCGTAATCACTCACCGGCAGTCGCAACTGATGGCCGCGGTGGTGGAAGCGTGGCCAGGCCCTAAGATCCGACTGGACAAAGATCTCCCGTCAGCATCCCTGCATCTCCTGCTGCTTAGTGCGCTGATCTATCTGTGACGTGTCCAGCAAAAGGGTTGTTGGTACGTCACAAAGAACGGTACCCGAAAGTAAGATTGCGTTTGGAATCGGTCATACTTCGATTAACCGGAAAAGTCAACCACAAGTTCCAAGCCTATATCTCCGGGCAAGATTAAAACAAGGAGGGCACAAATAACGGTTTCATCATGAAACCTTCGACAACCACGATATTGACATCTGATTATGTGCTACAGAGGCATAACATCGACAGTAGACGGATACCAGCGAAAGAAAAGGAAAAAAAAGTTCGATCGGCAAGGAAGTGTGGAGATGATCTGTTGTTGTCAATTCGCGCCCCGCTGGATTGACATGGGCTTGCGGCTCATGGGTTCGATGGGGGTTTGATCTCTCATTTTCTAGTGCGCCCTTAAACCAAAGCAATCGCAGAGAGATCTAGTCCGATACTAATGACTATGTCTTAAGACTACAAAGAAAAAGTACAAAGAACGAAGAAAATCCCCACAAAACAAGCTAGTTCTATTTTCAATTCTCATTACTCGTGAACTAAAAACAAGCGCGTGCATGATCCCGAAATGAATTTGATGATCAGACGTAGAGAAGCGCCAAAGCAGCACCAATCAGAGCCACAAGCCCTTGAGGAGCATTGAATGTAAATGAAGCCGCGCCGGTGGATAACTGAGCGGTAGTCGTGGCGGCAGTGCTGTTCGAGCCCGAGGTAGAAGACGCGGACGTGGCGAGCGTAGTACCCGTAGAAGAGGATGAAGACGTGGAGGTAGACGTAGTCGATCCTGTAGAGAAATCACGCTTCGGTCAGTGAGGTCGCCGTGCCACAATAACGAAATGACATCTTGCCTGAAGATGAAGATAGAGGACTGCTCGACGAGGTAGTTGTCGAAGACACCGCAGTCGTAGGGGTGACTGTGGTAGATTCGGTCTCACTGGATGTCGAAGAGGAGGAGGAGAAGGTAGAAGAAGAGGAAGAGGAAGAAGATGTAGTGGAAGCGGAAGAAGATGTAGTGGAAGCGGAAGAAGATGACGAGGAAGTAGTACCATCGCTTGAAGCACCCTTTTCGACAGTAAAAGTCGGGCTCACAGCGAGCTCGCCCGACGAGTCGATGATCTCAATTTCATAATCAGACCTAGCATGGAAAATAAAAAGTTAGTAGTGTTCCCACTTCTAACTGTCGGTGAGTTCACACGGTCTAGAGTACGCACCCATTGGAAATGCTAGGGTTGGGCTGGGTAGTGTATTCCCCAGTGGAAGTCTTTACGTTGTCCGCCAGCTTGGTTTGGAAGGATCCGTCCTGGGTGCGCAAGATGATGCTGATCACTGACGGATCGTTGGCATCGCTGGTGAACTTGATGGTTTTGGGAGTGGAGAAATCCCATTTAGTGCCTGAGGTGGGCTCGGTGATGGTGATGGCCAAAGCCGAAGAGATGAGGCTCAGCGAGGCGGCGGTAATAGCGAAGCGCATGTTGATACGATCTGAATTACTACTGCAGAAGATACTAGTAGCTAGAAAGTAGTAGTGTCAAATCTCCTACCGGGACATTTGCCTGCTATATATATGTATATAACATCTTTGAGAAGGGCTTCCTTTGTGGGGATCGTATAACGACACCGGGTATACTTCTCTGTACTGAATCACTCAGCAGCCTTTGGCTGAAGCCCAACAGATCGGGACCAGGCTGATTGTCTAGACCGCACACTGAACCAGCAATACGAGATGATCATCAGTATGGGCTGAGCCTCTCGCAGGAAGGGCCAAAAACGGACCTCAAAGTGTAATCCGAGACATTTCCCACGTAGAGTGACAGCAATCGGGCATGACCGGGATGTATGTCTCTGAAGCAGTGATCTGTCATGGTGTGCTGGATATATCACAATATCGGACCAATGAGATGCTCTGATACGACTGGCTGTGGGTGTTCTTTTCCTTGACAGATAAAGACGCGAGCCGTGAAAGCAAGTTGAAGCCATCTCGTGTCAGCGCAAGGTTGGCACTAGGAGGGATTGGCTGCAAGACGGAAGAGCCGATAAGGGTTTTGGGAAATCGAGGCTGTTAAATATCCGTACTTCTATTTTTGTAGGCAGTATCTGGCTGTTATTTCATACCCGTTCGATACGGTAAGATGTCCCCGATCAAGACAGATTGGCTGGCAGATTGTATCTATCTGGGACCTGCGGTCATCCTGCAAGCTGGCAGGCTGGTTCTCGTTGTTCTTCCAAGGGTAACCGAAGCCGAGCCGGTTCCTGTGCGCCCGACCGTCAGGGCAACCCATCAAAGAACGAGAAAGCCCGCAATAGTCGGGAATCCCGAAAGTAATCACCCTCCATTACTACTACCTCGTCTACGCGAAGAAACACAGACAATTTGGTCGCTGTGCTATAAGGCTTTTAATACATTTCATCGAGATCTAGAAGGAACAACACATGTATATTACCGTGATGTCAGGTTGACTAGTAAGAGACAAAACGCCACAATCTATACTTAGTACTCTAATAGTTCAGCCAGAGGCATGGTATAGGGTTTCATGTAAAGCCACAGTTTTAAGACAGATGAAAGAGCGTAAGAGGGAACAATAGCCATGGGGGTAATGCGAAACAGGGAAAGACAGGCGATAAACATCAGGAGAGAGTCTCAAGGGACTAGATGAACGCGTAGGACGTGGCCATCGCAACGGTGACCATCAATGTGCTTATCCCCAGCGGCACCCCAAACAAACAAGTATCAGACCCCTTGGACTGGATTGGGCTGACGGATGAGGCTGCGGAGCTACTCGGGGTCGCCGATTTAGTTTGATCACCACAGATATCGGTGCTGTCCTTCAGGCTGTCTGTGGGATAGTACACGCGCGGACCCCCGTCCGAGCTCAGATCCACTGCCAGATTCCCGCTGGAATCCGTGACATACGTCTTGCAAGATAAGATCTCGGTCACATTCTGTTTTGATTGGAATCCGGTCTCGTCTGAGCCCAATGTGATTTTTGTGGTGGCTTTGCTGGCTGGCTTGGCTCCCAAATTGGATACGACGCTCACGACCTGATTACCTGCAAAACCCTTGCGCGTAGCGAGAATGTGGGTAGAATTGTAAATAGGAGCTGACAGGTACGAGAGGTAATTGCTTCCAGATTGCGACTTTTCCGTGTACTGCTCACCATCACCACTAGCATATGATCGAAGGCGGTTCAGTGATTGGACGAGGGTGGGGAGGGAAGTCGAGTGCATCGAGTAGTTGGTCAGCCAGAGAGCCTCGCGGTTGACCGGATTGTAGGATCCAGTCAGATGTTGTTCCTCGCCGTAATAGACTGTATTTTGATCATCAGTGGTGTCTAAGAAATCCTGCATCCTATGGGGAGTGGGGATGGGAACATACGGATGGGGATGCCATCCGCCAGCATACTGCTGGTCAGAATATTGCGCGCCAGCTGTTCATGAGCAGAAAAAGTCAATCATTGTTTAGTATTGAGATAGGAATAGCGGCTAGACTTACCGATATATCCGACGTGTATGAACCGAAGCGCGGAACATCCTGGTTAGCGGTAAACGTCCCCAGAGCCAGGACATCCTGTATATGGTCAGTTTGGAGGTATATTCCTCTTTGGAGCATGTCCTACCTCGCACTGCCCCTTGGTATAGCTGATAGACTCGGTAATGGTGCTCAGGTTCCCGTTGGTTGTGTTGAATGCGTCGGTGAGAATGTAATACCTGAGGAGGTCAACACGACTTAATTTACTCATCACGATGCGGTACTCACAATGGATAGTTTAATAGCCCATTCAAGCTTGGCTGCAGAGGGCAAACATCAGCTGCATCGGCCGTAGCACCTTCACCGACAGTGAAAACTCCCGATGACTTGGTAAAGTTGGAGAAGAAGTTGGGGGCGATGTTTAGGACGCTGTCGATACGCAGTCCGTCAACTACAAACAAGAGACAGGTTAGTCAATCTGCCAGAACAGATAAGAAATAAGTCTTACTCGAATAGTTCGAGACCAACTCCGATATCCAGGAGCCCAAAATAATCTGAACCTGCTCGTCCTCATTCCGCAGATCGGGAAGCGATACGACGGTGTCTCCCATCCAGCACTTAGAATGACATTAGCAAAACTTCCAGGGGTTATGTGTCACGATGCACTCTTACATCCAGGACGCATGTCTCATTTGTGGGATCACTGGAGAGGAGTTTGAAGTCATGGAAATACTTTTCATCATCGAAAGGATTAAAGGTGCTGTAGTCGACGGTGCTAGAATTTCCCGCCCAGGCCATATCACCAACCACGATGTCGAGCATCAAGTACTGGGTTTTGCATGGTCAACGTCGTTCTCAAGGAAACATGGCAGATCGACTTACCATTCCACGATCGTGCAAGGCAGAGGACAAGGCTTGAAGCTCCTTGGGAGTGCCGAAGTGGGAGTTGATGGAATACAGGTCAGAGGGCCAATATCCATGGTATGCTATGAACTGTTAACATGTTGTATTATCTACCTACCAAACTACAGAAAGATATCATGTATAGAACAGTGTACGAAAAATTGAAGATGGTTTATGAAGGTTTCGAATTGCCATACCTGAGAGATCTGCTGTCCGGGCGGAAATCTGGGTTTGCGCCGGAGAGATCCATATCTGGAGACTTGGATATGAGAAGAGTGGCAGAAAGTGTGAGGAACACTACTCTGTAGTGCTAAACCTACCGCATCGAAGCCGAGATCTTGGATGTAGTTCAGCTTGTTGATGATGCCCTGAAAAGAACCTCCGCAGTAGTTCCCCTGTGCTGCATCACAAGCAGCGGTGGTTGAGTTATCCGATCGAGCAAAGCGATCGGTCACGATTTGATAGATAGAGCGACCGATCCATTGGTCTCTGGAAGCCGCATTAACCGTGGAGATTCCCAGAGTTACCACCAGCAACGAGATGATCCACCACCTGTCCATGGTTGGTGGCGTTTGCATGAGCAGATGAATGAAGGCAAGGAGAGTAGTTTCAATGGTGAAATAATTAGCTAGAAAGAGGTGAGAGAAATGTCTTGATGATTATGACCTGCGTAACCTTCTGTTGAGCATGTTCATATACGATGCGGACACATACATCCTTTGTGTCTGTTCAGGGCAAGAAAAGGATGATTACCGACCAGTGAACAACAAAACAACAGCGACAATACCGATGTATCTTGACTGTATGGAAACTTACGTGACAACATAATGGGTAAATATGTATTGGGTATTGGGTATTGGTACTTTTTCGGCCCTAACAGATACTAGACATCTAACTATCCATTTACTAACCAGCAAATCTGACATCTAACTCACGGCCCGTTCGCCAGGTGGTTGGTTCCTACTAGCTCCTGTCACTTTCACCCGATCGGCAGGCTTTGCTGGTCCGGGAAAGAGAGAGTGAGTGAACAGACTCTTAGAAAAAGCGCGAGCCAAACCTTAAAACTTCCCGTTATTTTTCTTTTTTTCTCCTTATTCCCGTCGGAACCCTGGCTCTGCTCCACTTCTCTCCCCTTATCGGCCTTCGTATCCCGAAAAGATAGTCTATCCCACTCACTTTTTCCTCCTTGGCTCGCTTCCACTAACTCGGATAGGTCATCCTCTCGCGATGACGTGTCTCTGCTGTTTTCGCCCTTCTGGAGTCACGGAATCTGCAAGTTCTGCTCGCCCCATCGGGCATATGTCACTGTCGGGTTGATGGGGTTCGTCTATCTCCGATCCCCGTGGCCCGGGATATATCACTGGCTCTGCAAACTTCGTCCTTGCAGGAGGTTCCCGAGCTGATGACAAACATCATGACACTGCATATGCCAGGTCGAAGGCTGCTACTATCCATAGTAAACCATAGCTTTACTCCACTCTTGTCCTCCCCAACACCGCGACGGATCCTTCCACCCCATGGGTTCTTGATTCTGTGTGAGCTGTCGGGTGGATTTACCCCCACCACCGTTGAGAAGGCATCATCATGACCCACTTTAGCTGCTCGCTCAGCCTCTCGACCGCTTCGGAAAACCCATATCAATGCATGTCAGACTGGTGCCGGATGAGACATGAGCCTGCCAGTGTTGGGCCTGGAACCTCGTCTTGGGGCCCGAGCAAGGTGGCGTGGCGTGTTACAAGCTGAATTGGCTTTCAAACGACTCAAATAGACTCGCTGGTCGGGATACCTACACCTTCCATGTCCACCAAATGTGGCGTGTATGTCAGCCCCAGAACTATCGGCCAAATTTAGGCCTGTTCGAGCGCCTCACCCAAGTGTCAGTGCACAGAGGAGGCTGTACGGGATATTGCGTTATCGCGCCGGGGTAATGCACTAATCTATGACATGCTTTCCCTGCCCATCAGTGATACCCTACGATTCTCTGCAGTCTCTGGGTTCATGGGATATCCTTTCTTTCTGGGCATGCACTGTCCTGTTGTTGTTACTGCTTGTTTGACTTCCTCTTTTTTCTTTCTGCAGTTGAGGCCCCCCCAGCGCGCTTGGTGGATGTCACTATAGTGGCATTCACTTGTGCAGAATGAAGCTGTTCATTGTTATCTATCGTTATCTCTTCACTATCGCATTATTGACCCGCATTGCACAATCTCTGCCACATCTTCCTGAGGAGGTAGATTGGAATCTGAACCAAAATGAAACCGCTACGAACCCTCTCGACTACTCGGGTCAGTGGGATGGTCACTCATACACTCCATCTCCGGATAACTGGCGTTTCCCATTCTACACGATATTCCTCGATAGATTTGTAAACGGCGATCCCAGCAACGATGATGCGAATGGCACACAGTGGGAACACATACTGACTTCCAATCAATTCCGTCATGGCGGAGACGTTCTTGGCTTGGTCGATACGTTCGATTACCTTCAGGGCATGGGAATTAAGGTGAGTTTGCTGCCTTGCATAGGTGACAGGACTTCAGAGACTGACCCGATTGCCTTTGCTAGGGTATTTATCTCGCCGGAACGCCGTACATTAACTTTCCCTGGGGTGCCGACGGATATTCCCCGCTGGACCTAACCCTGATGGATCATCACTATGGTACGATCGACGACTGGCGCACAATGATATCCGAGGCCCATCGGAGGGGGATATATGTTCTCTTCGATAACACCTTTGGGACGTATGTGTGATTACCTGTGCCCCATATCGGAGCGTACAATGCTGACCGCGTGGGAACAGGATGGGCGATCTTATTGGTTTCCAGGGCTACTTGAACAGGTCTGCGCCGATCAATCCCAGCGAATACGACTACGTATGGAAATATGATCGTCAATATTGGGATTTCAAACCCGGGAATGAAATCGAATCACAGTGTCCCTGGGAGTATCCAAGATTCTGGGACGATGATGGGACTGGCTTGACCACAACCACACTTGGCGCTTCATGCCGTGACAGTGAATTTGACCAAGTAGACCTCTCCCCAATTCATTGAATTGGCTATCACTGACTATTTACTTCAGTATGGAGAAGTAGCTGCTTTTGGAAACTACACCGAATGGGAAGGGCAGATTGCCAAATTTGCCTTTGTGCAAGATCGTCTGCGCTCATGGCGGCCCGACGTCCTGGCGAAGATCAAACACTTCTCCTGTCTGACCATCACCATGCTTGACATCGATGGGTTCCGCGTCGATAAGGCTCTTCAGGTGACCCTGGATCAACTGGGCGAGTGGTCCGAGTCAGTGCGTGATTGCGCCCAGCAAGTGGGTAAAGACAACTTCTACATCCCTGGGGAGATTGTCTCAGGGAATGCCTTTGGATCGTTGTATATTGGTCGCGGCCGCCAGACGAATCAGACTATCTCCAATATCACCGAGGCCTTTATGATGACGAACAAGACGGACAAGGCCACCGAGGATCTCTTTCTCAGACCTACATCGCAATCCGCCTTGGACGGGGCTGCGTTTCACTACACGCTGTACCGAGGATTGAGTCGGTTTTTAGGGTCAGTTGTCCCGCTCATCCCCTGAAAAGCTCCTTCCATCCATACTAATGTGCTCATATTTAGCCTGGATGGTATCTACGCCGCCGAAGGTGATCCGCCAGTAAATTTCATCGAGACTTGGAATGGCCTCGTGGAGACTAACGACATGATCAACATCAACACTGGAAAGTTCGACCCGCGCCACCTGTTTGGTGTCACGAATCAGGACGTTTTTCGGTGGCCAGCCATCGCCAACGGTACCCATAAGCAGAATCTGGGGCTGTACATCGCATCGTTACTCATGCCAGGAATCCCCATTCTCTCCTGGGGCGAGGAACAGGATTTCTACATTCTGGACAACCAGGCTGACAATTATAGTATGTAATTCGCGTCCTCAACCCCGTTTCTTCACTAACAATTCATAGTCTTCGGTCGCGGCCCCATGTCATCTGCTCAAGCATGGCAGCTTCACGGATGCTACAAGCTCGGGGCATCCAAATATGTCAACTTCCCGCTCGACCGCGCCCTGACTGGATGCGGTGATGATTCCGTTAGCCTTGACCATCGGGATCCTTCCCATCCTGTTCGTGGTCTTATCAAAATGATGTTTGAGATGCGACAGAACTACCCCGTTCTGAATGATGGCTGGTACCTTCAACAATTGTCCAACCATACCTTCGACATCTACCTTCCCGGCAGTAATGGAACTCCAACTGAGACGGGAATGTGGAGTGTGATGAGGTCCCGCTTTACAGACCTACAAAACTTCGATGGTCAGGGTCAGGGTAACCAGAGTGTTTGGCTAGTGTATTCGAATGACAACAAGACGGTTGACCACCAGTTCAACTGCAGTAGCAAGGATGCCCTGATCTCGCCATTCCCTGCAGGAACCACGGTGAAGAACCTGTTCTATCCGTTTGATGAGTATACTCTCATTAACAGCTCGGTAACGCTTGGGTAAAGTTTTACCACCAAAGAGATAATCTGACTTCGCTAACGATCAGTAGATTCGAAGGATCGGAACTCCCCAATGGATGTTATCCTCAGCTGACGATGCCGGCCTGGGGTTTTAAAGCCTTTGTCCCCAAGGCTAAATTTGTGAAGCCTTCGCCATACATAACACGCTTCAGCCCGGGGCACGATGCGCGGTTTATCTCCCAGGGAAATGATGGGGAGACCATACAAATCGGCTTCGAGTTCTCCCAGGAAATGAATTGCAGCCAAATCACCGACTCGCTGACGGTGACGTCTAAAGCACTCAATGATGAGAGTGCTCGGATCGACACGAATTCAGTCTCATGCAGTTCATTTGCTGAGACACAAGTAGCGACATTTCCTGGTGCCCTCACTAGCGTCTTTGGCTACCAGGTCAATTTGACCAACGTTTATCCTGGAGTCCACATGATCACTGTTAGCAACGTGACTACTATGGAGGGAAACCAATCAACCAACGTAAGTATACACTTCCTCTATGCCGCTGCATAAAGCTACAATGCTAAGTCATTCGGGCAGTCCGTTGATCACTTCATGTTTCGCATCGGAGAGACGAACAATCCCATGGTGTGGCCGCAACTGGCCAACTACAGCCGAACTCTGCTATTTGACACTCCATCCCCTGCAACGGAACCCTTGTCTGTAAGGCCACAGGCTCCAGGGGCAGATATGTGGCGCTACTCGCTCGACTTCGGGGCTAATTTCAGTCCCTGGATGACATATACCGGGTTCAATACGTCCATCCCGGGTAAGAACTGGACCGGGACTGCGAAGCAAGCGTGGGATGGAGAGCACATCATCGCCCAGTATTGGAGCAAGCTCACGGGGAGTAGCGACCACTGGCAGCATGGAGACTCTCAATGGCAATACAAACCACCTCGACGCTTTCCCAACCTCTTTATTGAGGGTGAATTTAATCAGTTCGGATACGACGCTGGCTACTTCAACACGATGAGCCTCAGCAACGTCACTGGCGATTGGGAGATCCACTTCATGGGCGAATGGCCCGTACAGGTCGCATTCAATGCCTGGGGAATCAATGAAGATGGCCTGCCCGACCAGACACAAGTCTATGGGGATATCGACGGCGACAACGTCCTGGATCAAGTTCCCCCCGTCACGCTTCTGAGCAATGTGTTCAATGTCACCATCCCACCCCCCTCGCCTTATCTAGCTTTTAGGCTTTCGGTGAATGACGGCGATCTGAGGGTCTACGCCACACCCACCGGATCGAGATGGGTCCAGCTAGCTCTCTTCATCTTGCTAGCTGTCATACCTGTCGCCACAGCCGTCGGGGCAGTGTTCATTTACCTCAAGGCTTTTTACCAGGTCAAATTCAATCAAGTCGGTGTCACGGAGAAGACTTCGACGTTTGCACCGATTCTGGGTGCCCTTATGAAGATAACCCGGTCTTCTAACGAAAAGGAAGCCAGCCCAGAAGAGACTCAGCGTTCCGTGAGCCCGTCAGGCCTTCCCACTGGAAGCGCCATTGGAGCCATTGTTAACACCCCACGACGCACTGTCCTTATTGCCACCATGGAATACGACATTGAAGATTGGGCCATCAAGATCAAAATCGGTGGACTAGGTGTAATGGCTCAATTAATGGGCAAGAACCTTACCCACCAGGACCTCATATGGGTGGTTCCCTGTGTTGGAGGCGTGGACTACCCTAGGGATGACCCGCGTGAACCCATGGTGGTGACGGTCCTTGGGACAACATACCATGTTGATGTTCAGTACCATCGGCTGCATAATATAACATACGTCCTGCTGGATGCGCCTGTGTTTCGAGCCCAATCGAAGTCGGACCCGTATCCTGCCCGGATGGACGACCTCAATTCCGCCATTTTCTACTCGGCCTGGAACCAATGCATTGCTGAAGCCATCAAGCGGTTCCCGCAGATTGACCTCTACCATATCAACGACTACCATGGTGCAGCAGCTCCACTCTATCTCCTACCTCGAACAATTCCATGCTGCTTGTCTCTGCATAACGCGGAATTTCAAGGCTTGTGGCCAATGCGAAACCCCCAGCAAATACAAGAGGTCTGCCGAGTGTTCAATCTGGATCAGGCAGTAGTCAAGAGATACGTCCAGTTCGGCGATGTGTTCAATCTCCTTCACTGCGCCGCGAACTACCTGAAAATACACCAGAACGGATTCGGGGCAGTGGGTGTCTCGAAGAAATACGGCAAGCGATCGTACGCCAGATATCCCATTTTCTGGGGTCTCAAGAGCGTTGGAGCCTTGCCTAATCCTGACCCATCCGACTTGGCAGACTGGGACAGCAATGCGAGCAAACAGCCCGAGGAGGTCACCATCGACTTAGAGTTCGAGGCCAGCCGTGGCGCACTGAAAAAGCAAGCACAGGAGTGGGCAGGGCTGAAGGTTGACCCCGACGCTCAGTTATTTGTCTTTGTCGGGCGCTGGTCCATGCAAAAGGGCGTTGACCTTATTGCGGACATCTTCCCCTCTGTTTTGGATGCTCACCCGAAGGTACAGTTGATGTGCATTGGACCAGTCATCGATCTGTATGGGAGGTTTGCGGCTTTAAAGCTGAACCGGTTGATGGAACTCTATCCAGGGCGTGTCTATTCCAAGCCAGAATTTACTGCACTACCTCCCTTCATCTTCAGTGGCGCTGAATTTGCATTGATTCCATCGCGGGATGAACCGTTTGGTCTTGTGGCTGTCGAGTTTGGCCGCAAAGGAGCTTTAGGCGTGGGATCACGGTACGACTATACACAAACATTGCTACCGGTATGAATGCTGACGTATGTACATCATGTAGGGTCGGTGGCCTTGGACAGATGCCAGGATGGTGGTACACAATGTAAGCTTCTCCATCCTACCAATGACACATGCAGAGGCAGAGTGCTAATGTATTCAAGTGAGTCGATGACAACGAAACATCTCATCCACCAGTTCAAACTTGCCATCAACGATGCTCTGAGATCATCTCAAGAAACACGCGCTATGATGCGTGCACGGTCAGGCAAGCAGCGGTTCCCCGTGGCGCAGTGGGTCGAGGAGTTGGGTATTCTACAAACTACTTCCATCATAAAGCACGCAAAACACTCGAAAAGCCAGGATCGCAATTCTTGGAGGGTATCCGGTGTCAGTGCAATGGTTCCCGATAGACCTCGCAACTTCCGGTTCTCATCGAGCTCAAATACCAGTCGCGAACAGAGCCGTTCACGCAGCTCAGACAACTCGGGTCCCCCCAGCAGGCCCATTACTGCAGACGCAAAACAAGCCGTTGCTAGGCCAGGCCACAGCCATGTTGCCTCATTGCCAGCAAATTTGCCTTCGAACCCCAACATGTTCAATGATTCTGACACTGACAACGAGCCAAGACGCAGACCACTATCCTCCACCCCCCGCGGAGGTCCTCGCATTGTTTATACTCTTGGCAATGACGACCAAGATCTCGAGAACATGACAAGTGTCACCCAAGATGACTTCAGCCCTCATCTTGCCTCGTATCTGTCGCCATCCGGAGCACCAAATACTCCGCCAACCTTTGCTAACTCTGGGGCCAGTACCCCCACCCTCGGCGCCGGACCGGACGATGGTCTGCTAGGACGAAGGAACCTAAGCCCGTCGATGATGAGTCTTGTTAGCATCCATGACATCGTCAAGGAGAAACAAGACTACAACCTCCAGAAAGTCAATCCGTTTTTCACAGATGCCAATCATGAGTACGCAGCGAAGTTTGAACGGAAGCTTGCCGGCCTGAACGGCAAAAACTCTGAGGACCAGTTGTGCATTGAGGAATTCATCGAAAAAAGCGAGAAGGACTGGTTTAACCGGTACCGAGATGTCAAACTGGGCAAATCACCTCTCCCATCTCCATCTCCATCTATCTTTCGCTTCAAAGTTCAGGACGCAAGTCGACCACCTACCCCTCCAGTCAATGGAGCTGCTGAGGATCCAAACGGAGGGCAATTCCTTCTTCCGAAGGATTACGTTCCTCCTACAGGCTTGAAGCGTTTCATGCTGATCAAGCTGGGCGACTGGCCCTTGTATTCAATTGTGCTTGCTATCGTGAGTTTGAACCTTCCCCAGGCGCAGCCCAAATCAACTACTAACAGCACAATGCCAGGGCCAAATTCTCGCCTTGAACTCCTATCAAATTACTCTGTTGAACGGCGAGATCGGAGAGACGGCAGAAAAGCTGTACATCCTGGCTACGATTTATCTCGCGTCCTCAATGATCTGGTGGATGGTTTTCCGGCTTGTTCCATCAGTTTATGTGCTAACCATCCCTTACCTGGTATGTGAACTTGTTTCCGTATTTTCACTGCCTAGGCCTTCATTCTAACTGTGTTCAAGTTGTACGGATTAGCCTTCCTGTTCGTTGGAATCGCGGGCCCTGTTGGCAACAGCACCAGCCAGACGTGGCTACAGAATGTGGGCACCGGGCTGTATTCGTTTGCATCTTCCAGTGGATCCATCTTTTTCGCCCTAAACTTTGGAGATGAAGGTATGTTTATGGACAGCATCTGCCGGTCACATTATCTAACTCTTGTGTGTTAGGCGGGGCGCCTCTCAGCTCCTGGATTTACCGAGCAACGGTAATTCAGGGTAGCCAGCAGCTATGCATCAGTTTCCTGTGGTACTGGGGTAGCTGGATGGCAAGCCTCAACCAAGAAGGCAGTACGCGATTCAGTCTTAGCATAACTGACCCAAACGTGTTGCTCGGGGTCGGCATCGGCCTGGCTTGTGTGCTGTGGCTGTTGGGGGCCTTGGTATTCTTCGGACTCCCGGCATACTATCGGCAGACTCCTGGTCGGGTCCCAACCTTCTACCTCTCGCTCTTCCGGCGTCGGGTCATCCTGGTATGTTTCTGTCGGTCTTCATAATACTCGGCCTTTGATATCGGGAGCTAACCGACTTTCTTCTAGTGGTTCTTCTACATGGTTTTCATCTCCAACTACTGGCTATCAGCACCGTATGGGCGGAACTGGCTGTACCTTTGGTCCAGCAAGCACGCCAAGGTGTGGCAGATCATTCTCCTAGTCCTTCTCTTCTTTGTCGTGGTGTGGGCAGCTGCGCTCTGGGTATTTCACGTGCTTTCCAAGCGACATGCCTGGTTCATCCCCATCTTTGCCATTGGGCTGGGAGCCCCTCGATGGGCGCAGATTCTATGGGCCACTTCCAACATTGGCACCTATATTCCTTGGGCGGGTGGACCAGTTGCTGGAGCCCTTCTCGGACGGGCGCTTTGGTTATGGCTTGGGGTTCTGGATAGTCTTCAGGGTATTGGTGAGTCTTTCTCTTTATTATCCGTCGGGGCTTTTATCAACTAACATTAAACTATTCACCTAGGGTTTGGAATGATCCTTCTAAACACCATGACTCGTTTCCATGTCACCTTCACCCTCCTGGCAGCGCAGGTGGTTGGTTCGGTAGCCACCATTCTGGCTCGAGCTACAGCTCCTGATAAGTTGGGGCCAGGCAATGTTTTCCCTGATTTCTCGGCAGGGGTGACCGCCGGGTTGAGCAAAGCGGATTTTTGGGTGTGTCTGCTGTTGATGCTCTCCATCAACGTCATCTGCATCTTTTTCTACCGCAAAGAGCAGCTTTCAAAACCATAGTCATTGCATATACTGTAGTCTAACTCTTTTGAACCAGTCTCTTGGTTGTAGAGATCTGGTCAGCATCATTTGGAGTAATTGGGCGACTTTTGTCTAGTGTTCATGTTTGGTTCAATTACCGCGGAGATATATAAATTGTACATCTTTTTCTCCGAACGATGTACATGGGAGATGTTTGCTCCATGTGAAGTGTGAGAGACTGGGTTTTGGGTATATATTTGAATAATGTTGGTAGCATACAACCGAATAATAGGACATATATAATATAGAGAGACAGCCATATTCCATCAAATGTTTGTGTCAAGCATCGTATCCATCAGGTGATGGCGCAGCGCGGGACAAGTTCGGTCCGAGCCATCCCGGCTATTCCTGTTCGGGCCTGATCCCTCAGGCCGCCTGCATGACTTTTAATTAAATACGAGATGATTGCCCCCTCTCCCTAACTCGTACCAACAAACTATCCCATTCCTTGCCAGTCCTTTCTGCAATACGCGTCTTGCCTTTTGTTTTCGGTGAGAGCCGTTGTTCTGCCACTCTCTTCAGAGCAACGCGATTCTCGTTCACTCGTTTAACTTATTCACCTGTCGCCCTATCAACAACTTTAGGCATTTTACTCCAGTCACTCATTACTGTCTACCATGTATCGCTCACTTTTCTCTATTCTTATTGCTCTCTGCTTCTATGCCCATTGCGCCTTTGCCTCCTTAACCCCAAGTGAGATCGCCAACTCTTTGAATGAATTGGCGCAACAAGGTTTCGCTGCTAAGGATCTCGTGTTGGAGATTAACTCCACCGCCGATGCCGGTCCAATGCGTGTATGTTTGCCCTGGTTATCCTGAGAAACGGTCATGATCCACAGCTTCAAGTATGCGTTTTTCTGATGAGGTGTAGGATGTCTATACGGAAATGGATACGATGGTGACCGTGGTTCTCACGGACGTCGAGTTCATGACCAATACCCCTATCATCACTGATCAATCCGAGGAGCAGACAGTATATGAAGGGTACTCAAATGTGAGGTCATTAGCCTAACCCATAGCAACTAAATTTATAACTTATTCCTTTGGCCGCTAGTTCGTACAGTCGCTCCTTGAGCTCATGGACGCCTTCTCCGACAGCGCAACTGAGTTGAAGTCGATTGACTCAACCACCAAGGAAAAAGTGCCCTCAGAAGTTCGCATCCTGGAAAGTGCCGTGGATGTGAGATTGCCTCGATTTTTGAGCCGCTGAGGTCCACACTAATTTGTTATCAGGCCTACTTCTATAATATTATCGGCCTCTTCCCGGCTAACAGCTCGTACAATGCCCAAGCCAGCAACCAGAAAGCCCAGGTTGACACTCATTGCTTCCAGGCTATCTGGGCGTTTGATCTCAACGATGGCAGTCAGTCTAGCTCTCAATCGCGCAGGAATACCTCTCTTCATGCTCGAAGAATGATGCGAAACTCTGCGTAAATTGAAACATGTACTTTCTGTAAGGATTGCGCAGAGCTGGATCGTCACGTCGATAGTCACCAGCGGAACCCGCTGCTGTATATTTCTAATTTTTTTAATTACCTTGTACCATAATAATAACTTCACTGGCACGTTCAAGTACTAAATTTATTAATACATATATTGGAAGTAGACGAAATCTAGCGATACTACCCCGGGGCAGCATAATCGCCCTGAAGTACAGAACACGTAAGATGATAGTCACACCCGTGCTTCTTCTCCCCCATGGAAAGAAGCAAATGAAATAAAACAAGAACGGAGGCCCTCTGAGGTCTATATCTTGCAACTAATGTTATTACTTGGGTAGTCATTGCTTTACAATCTTACCACAAGTCCGTCTGGAGAGTCAATAGAAATAGAATTTGGAAAGGTGAAACTCAATTCTATAGTGCTTAATTTGAAGTAGATTAGAGATTATAGCAGACATTCAAAAACTATAGAATGAGCCTTTTAGGGAAGCAAAGGGAACCACTGCAGACTCATCAACAACCTTTTTCACGGTCCAAGGCAGTCTTGGATATTGAGCATGTCGTCGCCAATCAGCTTCGCGCGGATAATATCTCGTCGGTATCCATCAGCGCCTATATCCGGCCCCATAATCATATAAATCACACCGATGAAGCATAGTCTGCCGAAGAAGTGACCGTGTGTCCTGCCGCCATCTTTGGAGCCATATCACCTGCGAAAAGCAGGGGCTTATACTCAAAACTTCCCCCCTATTACGGACTAAATGCCGTGGCGATTAAAGTCTAGGAGATGCAGAGGCTGCACTTTTGGATGGCCTCCGATGAAAGAAGCGAAGACTTGGTTCTCCTGGCGCATCATGCAGCCCTTCGGAATGTCCTCTTCCAAAAGCACATCACCGACGGAGATATGGCTGGGTACAAAGCCAACGGGACTTGGAGATTTCTAAGGATTTTTTGCTGTTTCTAGTGATGGGAATAGGGAATACTTGATTCAGACATGCCATTAGTCCACGCCTAGAAAGTCCATGCCGCTACTCTAAACCACGCCCAGTCATATTATTGGTGTGGATGTATGTGCGGAGTGGGGATTCGGTATAGTGGTATGCCATATAGAGTAAAGAGGATAATGAGGAGAACAATGAGTAAAGAGACATGACATGGACCCAAGAACATACAGATCAAGAAGACAGGATCACAGTCTACGGCCTCAACACAACCTGACCCCCCCAGCCACTCAATTTTCCTGCCGCATCTAATGCGCCTTCAATTTCATCCAGCCCAAATTCCTCGATGTGAGTGACGCCGCCCTTCCCGCCCAGCTGAAGCAACCCAGACCGCACCATTTGAATCAGCCGGAACACATGCGGACGATCGTACATAAACCGTCCCTGAACGCGAATGCCCTTGAACATGATCTCGCCGTAAGGCACCTGAATACTCCCCAAGTGACCGCCCATCAGGACACATCGACCGAATGATCCCAGCGCACGAATACCGGCAACTAACAGGGATGAGTCCTGAATGGTTGGGGGCGACAGGTCCAGGTATACATGGGCCCCCTCCGGTTGGCCGACCGCTGTTTTGAAGGACTGCGTATTGGTAGCCTCGTCCCCAGTGATTTGGACTGTGATAAGTCGCTGTGTACCATGGATGCGCTCGAGTTTGTCCAGAGCTGCCCTGTTGCGACCGGCTGCGATGACGGTGGCCCCCATGGCCAGGGCTGCGCCCACCGCGCCGCCACCAAAACGCCCTGTAGCCGGGGCCACGATCACCACCTCGCCCGGTTTCACGTCCACACAGCCAGCCCGCCAAAGGGGACCAGGTATGCGGTCAAGAGACAGAGGTCGCTGATGCTGTATCCCAGCCGCCCCAGGAGAACTTCCTCGTCCAGCGGATACAGGTTCTCCAGAGGGAACCGCGCGTATTCAGCATATGTTCCGTTGCGCCAGACTCCATCCATGAGTTTCTGCGCCGCAGGATGAATTGCTCCATGAACCCCATACAGCATGGTGACGGTGGGGTTATCGCGCGCGCGGATGGTTATGTCGCAGAAGACAAGTTGACCCGGCCTGAGGGTGACACAGTCGGGTCCAACTTCATGGATGCGCGCGATGGCCGTGTTTCCCGGAGTCATGGGAAGGGAGAGCGGGTATGGTCGCTGGTTCGTGATCACCTCTTTCATATAGGGGACAATATCAGCAGCTAGGATGCGGACGATGGCGTCACCAGTCGATGCCACAGGGCGAGGCACATTGTCCACGACCAGGGGCTTGTCCCGGGCATGAATCACCGCCGCTTTGTGGGTTGACATAATTTTTTTTGTTGGTCTGAGGCAGTTGCTTGGTAGTAGAGGATGAGCCGTTTCTTCTCTGCTGCCTTTATAGATCTGTAGAGCATTCTCATCCCGTGCTTTGTCCATCAATACAATGAAGACAGGTCCACGGTAGGCCAGAATGGTATATCCGCAAACTCCGGTCACCCCGACCAACAAAGTCTGGCAACGATGAAGCAAGATACTACGGAATACCCACTTAAGCGATCCATCTGTTATAGTGAACTCTGGTAAACGGTCAATGACACCAGATATAGCCCTGGACGGTGGGTCCCAATCCATTCATTCTGCCGATCTCAACACCTCTGCAACTGCTTGCACGGCACTGGATTCACGGCGACGGCGATAACCTCTCACTGCTCCCCGTATCTCCGAGCCCCTCCACCAACGCGCTTTGTATGTCATGGATCCGTGGTCATTGTACGACCTGCCATGCCGCACGCCGCACCCGCACCCGTATTATTAGGTCGTCAGATGGTTGACTGCCGATCTCATGGCAGATACTAAAGCCGTATGTGGGGGAAGTTTTGCCTCCCATGTTCATAGACAAAGTAGAGTGGGACCAGCTCCCACGGCGACTGATAACTTTAAACAAAAGCATATTCCTGAAGTAAATACCAAAGTGATAGGGTGAATGTGCGAGCCCCACTGGGTTATGAACATGGTGACCGGGGAGTTAAAAACCTGATTATGCTATCGCATTTAGCGTTCATACCTACTGTCCTGGTACTACTCGTAGCCCGGCCCTGTGTCTAAACTAGCTAGCTATTCTTATGGGCGCGCTTCTGGGCCCTTGAGGGCAAGGCACCCGCGAGATGGGCACTAGGCCCAACAGGAGGGCTGCGGCAGTTGCTCTGCACGGTGAGATTCTGCAGCAGGCCTTTTGAATACCGTTATTCCCCTTGCTTTCATGAAGATGGATGCATGGCAATGGGTGGCCCGCAGATCTTCAACTGGCTACTGATGCTGAATGGTCGATCCTGGATTACCGCTGTGCTATGCTGAAGTGTCAGGCGTCCATTTCGCTCATACGGGCCTACCTCTAGACCCCAATAATTGCTGAGGTAGGGGCAATGTGGAGGGTCAAGGGCATATGCTGAAGAGAGGCAACTACCATAGAACGCAGGACTCAATCCTGTCAGATATTAACCACATTCGGTTCGTGAAAAAGTGCAGGGGACCATCAACGTCGTCTCTGCCCTATGCCCCACCAAGTCTTATCTGGATTTCTTCATCATGCTCTCTTCGTCAGCGGGAGTCATTGCCAACCGCCGCCAGGCCAACTATGCTGCCACCAACACCTTCCTGGATGCTTTTGCGTGTCAACTGATGAGAGGAGGCTACCCGGCCACCTCGATCAGTCGGGAAAGCGTGCTCAGTGTGGGTGGGATCGCGGAGAATCAACTTAGACTTTCCAGCGCGCTCGCCTACAGGGCCCTCTTGGAAGACCTTCTATTCTCTGGAATATCGTATGAACTTTGCCTGGGCTGTGGGCGAGAGGGGGGCCCTGGCGCAGACTAGCCAGACCTGCCACACGGTGGTCGGAATTCGATCCGCGAGGGACTTTGAACGCCAGTCCATCCTTCTGCCCGAATTCATGGCCCATCCGTTATTCTCTCCGCGTTGGGCCATTGCATGCAGGTCCTAAATGGCCGAATAAAAAATCGAGGCGGCGGTGGACGTCGTGACGCGAGCCATCGTCGATCAACTGGCGCGTATTATAACATTTTCCGTTCAGGAGATTGATCCGCAGTGGTCGCTGGGCTCGTACGAGGTGGATTCCTTGGTGACAGTGGACTTGGAGACCTGGTTCCTGTGAAAGTAGACCACGTGATCTCGGACCTAGCCACCTAGTAGCCATCTAGTCACCTCCTCGTGTAGTTAGCTAGTTAGTCTACACACGCACATTATCATCATATTGCTTCCACAGATCCAACGGGAAGTGAGGGTTTCCATAGGATCGGGGGAGCTGTTGGCGGAGCTGGCCAAGACCCACTTGGCCCAACAGGCTGCGGACGGATCGCAGTTCTTGCCGGCGGACCTCGGGAGAAGTTAGTAGGAGAAGGGCCTGTATCCGATTAAGAAAGAAGCTTTAATAAGGTGCAATTGCATGATGGAGGCCCAAGAAGACAAGCCAGGAAGAATGAAGCTTTCGACCATGAGGAAAGACGGTGAGGCGCCATCTCCAGGCATTCAGGCATGAATGCTAGTAATCAAAGACGTATCAGGTGACTTTTACCGAGGCAAGGAAGTGGCACTAGCCCCAAATAGGTAACACGACAACCAGGTGCTGTTTTGAGACCAAAAAAAAAAAAGGATTATCAACAATAATAAATTGAGGAAATCAAGACGCGCACCCACCGATATTAAGGATGTGCTATTGCTAATCTGTTCTCGACTAGTGGGTGGTTAATGATTTACCCTTCTTGCCCTGCTTATCTCTGTGATCAGGCCATTATGGGCCTCCTTATGGGGGTACCTAGACTAGGAGCAAGACACTTAGCTTGGTGGAGATCCAGTAACCAGGGGAATCGACTAGCTACATACAAGCAATGTCTCCGAAACGGAGCCCAGAAGTCAGACCTCGAGATATTGTCACTCCTGCTCGAATGGCGGTGTGCTTTGATTTTGGCTGTCCTACGTGCAGTGTCGAATGAACAAAGCATATATGACCAGGTGAGGAGCGAGGAAATATGCTCCAAAGTCGATACCGCTAAGACTTATAGTCATTGGCCAACATGGGGCTGCAGAAATGTTAAGATTAATATCAAGACTGGGACTACGCCTGCCACTGGCCCTTCAATACAATCGTGGATCTACCGCCGACATATCGACGCTTCCCCTCGGCAAAGCTTAGACCAAGACTCACCTGCCAATAATAAAAAATTATTATCATGATTGTGGATCTTGGGCCAGCTGTGGCACATGCTGGCTACACGAGTAACTGCTCGGTCCAGTTCTCAACATCTGAGGCCCATGTTTAGCCACTAGTAGTTCAGATCTTCCCTGTTTTCCATTAAGAGGTCCATCTTCCTGTGCACTAAGGCGTGCCAAACTTTTGGCCCTCTAGTTTTGTGACAGCTTTCAGTTTATGCTTCAGTTGTCTTGCTTGGGAGAACATGCCTGGTACGGAGATCAGTCGAGACAGTGGTGCAACACCGTCCATACGGTGCCCCTTCGAGGAATATGAACGGATCCTTGAGAAGAATCCCATCTTGGCGCCCACTGGCTGTACGGAAAAATTCTGCCAAGCCGGACGTCTCATCCACAGCGCTGAGCCAAAGGTCGGGGAGAATCGTCCTCTCGAAGTGGTGAAGAATGAAGCGGTGGCTTTTCTTTGGCAGTTGTGGCAGGAAGGCATCTACACCGAAGAACGTTACCTAGAAAGGCGCGCACAAGTACTGGAGGAGATCGCTCAATCAACTAAAACCACACTTGTGTGGGATCAGGAAAACAAGCGAGTGGGCAAGACTTCTATCTGGACACAAAGCGCCGAAGAACTTCGCTATGGGCTGCGTCTGGCCTGGAAGAATTCGCGCAGGTGTATCATGCGCTCGCGGTATCAAGATCTGGACCTCTGTGATCTGCGACATATTCATACTAGCGTCGGTATGGCCACAACACTTCTCGAGGAAGTCACTAAGGCCTTCAATGATGGTCAAATTAAGCCGACGGGTAGGACATTCCAGTTGAATTCTCACCGCATCAAATCCTGATCTGACCATCTTCTCAAGTGTTTGTGTTTCCGCCGAAATCTGTGGATGGTAGTGGCCCGATGTTTTGGAACAAGCAAGTGCTGAACTTCGCTGGTGTACGTTATCTGTTCTACCCTAACGACTTTGATGCTAATGTAAGCTGGATTCGCAACCTGCAGTACGAGCTAGAGGACGGCTCTATTGTAGGTGACCCCAGTAATGTCAAGTTAACCCAAGACATTATTGACTTGGGCTGGGCACCACCACGGCCCAAGACCCCATGGGATCTTCTACCAATTGTTGCCATGGCGGAAAACGACGCACCGGCTCTTGTCGAGGTGCCGGACGACCTCGGTCGGCTGATTGTCATTCAACATCCGGACTACCCCGGCTTCAATGAACTGGGCCTCAGGTGGTACCAATTTCCAGCTCTAAGTCGACTGGGCTTTGATATAGGCGGAGTTCAGTACACAGCAACACCGTTTATTGGATGGTACTATCATTATCTTCATGGTCGGTGATGACTCTTGCTGACCCTGACAAGGTACATGGATGCGGAGATCGGAGTGAGGAACCTTGCCGACACGTTCCGTTTCGACGCCCTGCCCGAGGTGGTCAAAGCCATCGGGTTTGACAGCAACGCCTATCGTGCAAAGCCTGAGTACGCAGACATACGAGAGCTGGAGGATCTTCCAGACTATGAGCAGCTGCGGTGGCGGAGCCGCGCCCAAGCTGAGCTGAATTACGCCGTGCGTTGGTCCTTCCTCCAGCATGGCGTTACTTGTGTGGGAACATTGGCTGCATCCTCGGACTGGAGTCAGTTCGACGATGAACATGCCGCGAAGAAGGGCTACCGACTGAATTCAGATCCCTATTGGCTGTCACCGCCGCAGGGATCAATCATACCCGTGTGGCATCGTGGTGGTGCGCCGAATTACCAGCCGAAGCCCATGATTTGTCGGAATCGGTATGATCCTGTTAACTCCTGGCAGCGTCGGAAGGGTTCTACGGAGGCAGTTCCAGCCCTTCTGGTGAGAAACGGGAATACCTGGGTCACCGAGGCTCTGACTAGCTTTGCCACTGATATCTCAGGCCCCAAGAGGCGTAAACTGACAGAATCTCCCAGCAAAGAGCAACCCTGCACGGTGCATATATCCTACTGCAGCCAGGGTACTACAGCACGGACCCTAGCTGAAAGGCTACACCGGCGACTGAAGCGCAGTGCTAGAGGCTTTCAAGTGAAGTTTAGCACTTTGGACGCCTTGGATTTAACTCTTGTCGAAACATTCGATACCATACTTCTAGTTGCCTCAACCACCGGTAGTGGTGCCTTTCCTGCCAATGGAGCTGATTTTGCGAAGGCCTTAGGGCATTTCCGCCACACGCTCAAGGTTGACTTCTCCCGTGTCCGACTGTCCGTCTTTGGAGTTGGGGATAGTGCCTATCCCAATTTCAATGCCGCAGCAATCACCGCCTACGAATTTTTCCACCACCTCAATATCTTGCCCATAGCTGGTGGGTTAATAAAGGCCGATGTGGCATCCGAAGCATTGCCGTTGCGCATGTTCAATCGCTGGTCGGACGCGGTCGAGTCTGCGTTAATGGGAGGGAAAGGCGAATTGACTAGTGATCCGGAAGAAGCGTTCGTAACGCATGCTGAGATGCTCCGCAACTTTAGCGAAGCTACGGTTACCTCTAAGGCATCCAATCGGACGCACGATGGACTGGTCCTTTTGACTCTTAACGGCATCGAATGTGCCGACATGACCCACCTACGGCTTCTTCCCACGAATTCCTCATCTCATGTCTCCCGAGCCATCACAGCCCTGGGAATCACAGATCCTCAACAGATTATACCGTTCTCTGGCGAAGGGCTCCAGCAGTGCAGCTACAAGGCCTTCTTCACCAACTTCGTTGACCTGGAGGAAAGAAGTAAAGTTCCAAGCTGGGCAGCCGAGGTTGACAAGAACGGCGAGCGCGAGAATGAAAGTATCCTTGAGAGACTGGAGAAATTATCGGAGATTATAGAGCCGTCGCAGTTGACTCAAGACTTCCGTTATAAAATCTGTCTTGCTTGCCCACTTATCAAGCCCCGAGCCTATTCCGTGGCATCATCCTCGCGATACATCGGGGAGAAGAAGGTAGAGCTCTTGATTAAGCCACAACAGCAAGGCCGATTCAGCGACATCTACCTCTCCGCCCTTCAGCCTGGCGGATCAGTGGTATATGCCGTTGTCCCTGCCTCCCCTGCATCTTTCCTTCTCGCTGTTCAAAAGCCGCTTGTTATCATCACCACTGGCTCTGGATTTGCACCAGTCCGCAGTCTACTTCAGCAGCGGATTCAGACTGCACGAGAATGGGGAAGACATAGCAGCACGACACACCCATTTCATACCACTCCCATCAGTCTATTCGCGGGGTTTCGGCCTGTGGATGAGAACCTCTTTCACGCGGTAGTCCACCTGGCGCAGAGGCATCGTGTTATAGATCTGGCCTGTCTTATTCCTAGTAACCGCGAAAAGAAGCGTGTTCAAGGTTTTCTACTGGACAAACGTAACGAAATTCGGACGAAATTAGTGGAACAGGAAGGATATGTCTATGTCTGTGGGAGTGCCGCTATGGCTGAAGGGGTGCAAGCTAACCTCAGCAAGGTTTTGGTAGGAAATGTGAAGCAGATAATGGGCGAAAGATATATAGAGGAAGTCTTCTGAGGGGTTATACCAAAAGACATGTGTTATAACATTGTACTACTAACGTGGTTATGGACATGCTTAAAGCATCATACTCGCATGGCGGTGATGATGGTGATGATAACAATTAGTGATACCTACTGCTCCTGTACTACAGACAACCAAACCAACCAAAGACAGTCCTCATGCATATTTCATTCCTGACTGCTTGAAAAGAGAAAGGTAGTCCTGTCACATAAAGCACAAATAGAGATGTCCACCAAACTCACCATAGTCACCACCCTCTTCTGCGTAGTATTAGTAGTATGTGGTCATTGTGGTCTTTCCACTAGCAGCAAGCGCTCGTATAGTACGATTGTCATGGTCTCCGGCAGTTAGTCCTTGATAATTGGTCTACTTACCATCAACTGAATCGTAGTATATATACCAGGTGTGGAGAAATGTATATTAGGCCCATCTCACTGCTCAACGAGGTGACAGCGTGCTAGGAACTTTAATTATCAGTATTACTGGTGTGAGAGTCAATGATAAACAAGGGAATGGTGTGTCACCACTTTTTGTATCCTCCCTAAGCCACAACCTGAGGATATATGCTGTTCACACCCCCCCCCCCCCCAACCCACGAGAAACTTGAGAAATTTCACCACATTATAGTTAACTAGTTACCTATGGCAGTGCTTACATAACGTCATTACCCAGCTCTTTGTCACGTGATGCTGTAAGGCTGCCAAGGCAGCAATCTCACGTCAGCCCCCTCAACTAACCCCAACGAATCAACGAGTTCACCACCTTTATCATCTTTCAATCAATCGCATCAGGAGAGACATTCGTCTCTTGGTCTAATATCCTCGCGTAGTACCCCAACCGCAATTCCTTTACACACACACACACACACACACACACATACACACATATATATATATACTCATGTGATCTAGACATCTCTCTAACATTCAACGGACCCTTTCCCGTTCCGACGGGAAGAATCCGAGCACTGGAGCCCCTGAAGGATCGTCGGGTGTTAGTCTGTATCTAGTGGCTCGGCTTCATCTTACCTCTTCGCACGCCCCCCCCTCAAACCCACTGCCCCTCTCGAATGTGTCAGAGTCTCAACAGTACAGCATCCGAGGGTGCAAGGGATTGGTTCATTCGAGACGCTGACATTCCTGGGCCGCCCTGCCCGCCGCCAACCGGCTGCCTCATCAATGTCTCTCTCGTCCCTCAGGCTTCTTCAGGTTGAACTCGCCAGGTTCTCCCTCATGTCTATCTGGGATGGCGTGCTCGCGCGTGCCCTTGATAGCCTCTCCAGTCCAGGCTTGAAAAATTCCTCTCTTGCTCTTTAAAGGGATTCTGGCCCCCACCAGCCTCGGCACGGCCCCCGTTCAATCGGCTTTCGTGTGGGCATGGCTGGCGCGCTGCCCAGCGACAGTCATTTCCCCAGATGAAAATCTCCCTTCGTCCCGCCCATATCCCTCTTATTTCTGTCGTTGAAATGTGAGATGACACAGCTGCTGCTGCTGCCGCCGCCGCCGCCGCCGACCTGAAATCAGTTCCCATCCGGGTAAAGAGAGAAAAAGCTGGGGGTGTTCGTCAGCATGTGGCTCTACCAGTTGCTGCTGATCGTCCTTCTGGAACGACTGGTGTCCGGCACCACCTGCTACTTCCCTGAGGGCAACGTGGCCGAGGATTACACGCCTTGCTCTGACAATGGCGTCTCGTTCTGCTGCAATAAGAACTCGATTTGCTTGAGCAATGGCCTCTGCACCTCCATGCATCAACCGTATGTTCTCGGCCGCGGCGCCTGTACCTCCCAAAGTTGGAACGATACCTCGGTCTGCGACGATGTCTGTCATGGAAGTACGTGAGATACCTCGCTCACCCTGATAGTTTGGCTTCAACCTAGTCTACTGTTCTTCTTTGCGACTAACCAGATACTCGTAAAATTACAGTCACCACCGCGTGGAGCAGCGCGTGCTCCCTCATCCTCTACAGTGACGTGAACGGAGTCAAGCTATATTGCCCCAACTCGATTATATCCAACGGGACCGACTCCATCGGATGCGCCAATGGTGTCTCGCCCGTTTCAGTGGGCACTGGCAAGCCCATTGCTGGCAAGGCATATCTGGCCAGCTACTCCCTCCTCCCCACTGCTAGCACCGCCACCAGCACCGCAGCAGCCACTTCTACCACCGAGCCCAATACTTCGTCTTCCTCCACAGCCGATGAAAGCTGCAGCAGCCCGACCGCGGCTAATAGCAACCAAGTCAGCCGGGCGACCGTCACCGCCGTTGGGGCCGGGGTCGGCGTCCCCCTTGGGCTGCTGGCGTTGGCATCGCTGGGCTATGGTTTGAACGAGAGAAGAAAGCGGCTTCAGCTCCAGAATGCCCCGCCAAGCATGTACCAGATGCCGGCGGCCTCGTCAACGTCCTATCGATCGAGGAATATGGGCGCGAAAGAGCTATCTGGTCATATACCACTTCACGAGCTGGACACGTGATTGTGTATGGAGCGCGCGCATAAAAATGCTTATTAGGATTTGGTGGATTGGGAAGACAGAAAGGGAGAATAGCAAACGGAACGTGGGTGGCTGTTTGAGGTCACAGCAACTACATTTGATGTTGCATGTATCTCCGTTACTCTTAAGAGTCCGTGTCTGTCCCCGGGCTCACACCCGCTGAACCTGTACTTTTGGGGACCGGCCAAGAAAGAACTGTAAAGATAATACTAATACACTGCTTCCGAGCAGCTCATGTACAGTATATAGAGTAATGTTGGCTGGATCTGCCGAAACTTGAAATCAGTAAGGGTGTGACTCGGACTGAAAGGAGTGAGATAAAAAGACATGCATTGCTTGACTTCCCTAGGAGGCTTCCCTGATAATTCTCGGAACCAAAACAGCAGCTGAGTAGTCATGCCGCCACAACAAGCCCGAAATGAGAAGACGAATCCGCGAAGAGGAGTACCAACTGAAAGAGCAAAGGACTCCTACGAAGTACCAGCCATACCAATGACCCACAACCGTACCCAAGAGCGAATTATCAGGCTCAAAGTTGAACATCACGCGAATGTCTACAGCAGCCAAGCCTTCCAACTAATATATAACGATTGTGTCTAATGATTTAAGTTAAATGACACTTCTAAACGAGGTCCCTCGAGTTTCGATAGATGAATCGAAACAGACTAGGCCCTAGTATGTGCGAGGCCTGATCCTGAGACCAGGTTGATGACGCCGTCCTAATGCGGGCTTGACATATATGGGACGATCCCAAGTATGCATACACACTTGGAAGAAGAACATAATGACGGAATCCCTTGCCAACGAACCATATGGCCCATACATGAAGGTTCTATCATTTGACCGGCTTGCAATAACTACATATACTGTGTTGACAGAGAACACACCTTGGCTGGTTACCCCATGCTTTCGGGCCGTCACCACACTGGCACTGCGGAATCGATGAGCACCTTTCAAAATTCAGAATGATATACAAGGGGGTTAACCAACACAAAAATATAAAGTGGGCAATGTCAGGTACGGTAGGAGAGGATCATGAACGCCGACAACTTGCTCGGTCGACCTCAGAGCTGAGCTGGCCGAGGAAAGGTGTCGTATGGAGGGCCGTGTACAGTGTACGAACGGAATCATATCATCTACCAATCTCAAGATCGGATACCAGAGCGTTGCATCGGGTTCGAGCTGCTCTGGTGGGCTGTGATGATTTATCACCCCGTCGTTGTCTGGGAGGAATTCAAGGGGGATAACATAGTGTACGGAGGCCATGTTTGAGCTGTCAAGAGACAAATCGATGTATTGCTCGCATGCGAGAGGACTTTGATAAGCTGGTGGGAGCATGGCTACTGCTCTTACCAATTTTGATTTAGAGGTTCTTGTGGCTATGTCCCCCGCCACAGCTGCGATTGGGTAGCAGTCAGGCAGGAAGATGGGCCGATGCTCCAGCTGCGACACACATGATCTCAGCAACGGGACGTATGATTCTCCTCAAAAGAAAACAAGCTTAGCACCACCTCCCCGACGCTCATAATGACATCCGGGTCGGAACCTTCTCACAATGATTATACCGTGGCGTGGATATGCGCACTCCCAGTGGAGCTGGCGGCTGCCCAAGCCCTTCTGGATGAGACCCACGATCAGCTTCCAGCCGGACCGACTGACACGAATGTTTACACACTAGGGTGCATATATGGCCATAGAATTGTCCTCACCTGTTTACCGAGCGGTGTATGCGGGACGATCTCCGCAGCTGTTGTCGCGACCCAACTTTTGTCAACTTTCCATTCCATCCAATTCGCCCTCCTAGTCGGTATTGGCGGAGGCATACCAACTAAGAATGCGGATGTCCGTCTTGGCGACGTAGTCGTTGCAAGACCTACTGACAACAACGGAGGTGTCGTACAATATGACTTTGGCAAAGCAACAGCCGCTGGCTTTCAGCGGACAGGCATGTTGAACAACCCGCCCAGATCCCTCTTGCATGCGATCTCTAAAGTAGAAGCAAACCATTTGTCACATGACCGTCAATTTGTCTCTTTTCTGTCTGAATTCGAAAGGAGAACGACTGAACAGGGAGCCTTGGCCTTCTCGAGGCCGGTGACGGAAGACCATCTGTATCTTGCAGATTACCATCATGCTGGCATCCGGTCCGATGGATGTGCAAATTGCGATAAGTCGATGACGGCTTCACGGCCTGTCCGATGCGATGGCTTGCCAGTGGTTCATTATGGATTGATTGCATCAGGGAACCAAGTGATCAAAGACAGTCACGTACGTGACAAGCTAGGGCAGGAGCTTGGGGCGTACTGTGTTGAGATGGAAGCAGCCGGTTTGATTAACCATGTTCCATGTTTGGTGATCCGTGGCATATGTGACTATGCTGATTCACACAAGAATGACGCATGGCATGGATATGCTGCCGCTACAGCTGCAGCTTATGCGAAGGAACTACTTTCCGTAATGCCAGTTTCGCAACATAATATGGCCGCTTCGATGGATACTTCGCAGGGTGAGTGAGGTAACTTGCTCCTGACAAAGCATCTGACCGCTGATAATTAGAGGCTAGAAACTTACCACATACCATTTCAACTGACTGACGTACCCACGATTAGCAACTTTGTCGGTCGGGATGTAAACCTCCGCAAGCTATGGGAGATCCTGCGACCGAATAAAGTGGCGGCGCGCAAAGGTGTCGTGATACATGGAATGGGTGGGCTGGGCAAAACACAACTAGCAGCCCACTTCGCTCGCATGCACAAAGAGGACTTCACATCGATTTTCTGGCTGCATGGCAAGGATGAGACTACCTTGAATGCGTCATTTGCAGACCTCGTTGTCCGCGTCAGAGATATGGCTGCATCCGACAGTACGCACCATCAATCGATGCAAGAAGGGCCACCTTTATGTGCCAAAAGAGCCCTAGAGTGGCTGTCGAAGAAAAATAACGCTGGGTGGCTTCTCATCTACGATGATGTAGAAGCTTTTGACATTCAAAGCTGGCTGCCGACTGCAGATCATGGCTCGATCATCATCACAACTCGATCACCGCAACTTGCTGAGGGCATGATCGCTCACCCACTCACGCCGCTTCCCTTTGAGGATGCCTTGCAACTACTCACTGGCGAGCCAGGCCCTAGAGACAGCACATACGGCAGATGCCAAAACGACCCAAGCTCCAAAGCACTAGCTAAGCGTTTGCACGGATTACCTTTAGCACTGGCACTTGCAGGCTCCTATATCCACCGGACAGGTATGAGCTGCTCCAAATACTTGGAATACTACCAACGCGAATGGTGCAGCCTTCAGGCAGCCGCACAACCTCTTCGAGGGTACCCAAACGGAAATTTGCAGACGGCGTGGAGAGTTTCTTATGAGGCAGTTAAGCAAACCTCTCCACTGGCGGCACAGACCTTCTTTGTTCTCTCGCTCTTTCATCACGAGGATATATGGTACGAGCTACTCCACAGCGCCATGCAATCCTGCATTCTACCCTCAGGGCTTTCAGAACTTTTCTCAAACGAGATCCAATTCTCAAAGTTGATGCAGATATTGCTGGACTTCTCGCTGGTACAGCAGTCTTCGCGCAACGGGAGTTATTGCATACACCCGGTCATACAAGATTGGTGTGAGAATGAGCTTCCGTCTGTCGATTCGGACCTCGATGAGCTTAGCAGAGAGACCTTTACCATTCTCGCAGTCACAGTGGGCTCGAACGCCCAATTTGCGCTAGACATGAACGACTGGTCGTTGCAACAGCGCCTTCTGTATCACGCAAACAGACTCATGCCATTGATACGAGGCAAACCAAGAGAGAGTCGAGATTCTGGAGTCCTTTCGGCACTTCATGCGATTGGGCGCCTGTATTGGACACATGGAAGGCACGAACGAGCAGAGCAGATGTACCAAACGGCACTTGCTGGGAGAGAGATGGCGTTCGGCCCAGATCACAGAGTCACTCTCCAGACCGTCCATAACATGGGCTTGCTGTACCATGACCAGGGAGATTTGAGATCAGCCGAGCTGATGTTTGAGCGGGCGCTTTCCGGATATAAAAGCACCGAGGTTGATGATTCTCAACTGGAGGCGCTGGATACCCTTCAGAGTCTTGCAAATATCTACCATGCTCAGGGGAGACTGGACGAGGCCGAAAGGGTGTGCTACAAGGCACTGACGGGATACCGAAGTTTATCGACAGCAAGCAGTCCATTGGTCCTGGACGCAATGCATAACCTTGCAAACATCTACTTCTCTCAATACCGGTTACCCGCAGCAGAAGAGCTGTACGACGAAGCCTTGAGGGGCAAACAGAGATCTCTTGGTGAATATCATACGTCGACGCTAGACACAATCCATAATATAGGTGTTGTCTATTTTGAGCAAGGCCGAGGACAGGAAGCTGAAGAAATGTGTGAGAGAGCCCTTTCTGGAAGGATGACAGTATTTGGGAAAGATCACTCGTCTGTATTCGACACGCAATTCCAACTAGGCACCATTTATCGCTCTCAGGGTAAATTGAAAGCGGCCGAGGAAATGTACCAACGCGTTTTGTTGGGACGAGAGAAGGTTCTAGGCGCTTGTCACTCCTCGACTCTTCATACTATCCACCATATTGGAAATCTCTATTATATGCAAGGCAGGCTGCAGGAAGCGGAGCAGATGCAAGAACGAGCACTCAACGGCTTTGACCGCACCTTTGGTCATGACCACACCTATACACTCGAGTTGGCCCATACCCTGGCTGTTTTTTGTTGTCAGAGAGGGAAGCTCGATAAGGCGGAATCATTATTTCAACGCGTTCTGTCCGCCAAAGAGCAGATCAATGGGAAGCGCAGTGGACCGGTGCTTGCTATTCTGAACAACTTAGCAAATGTATACCGAGAACAGGGTAGACTCCGGGAAGCAGAAGAGACCTACAAGTTGGTCTTGGCCGAATGGCGGAAACACAGCCCAACGCATTCTGCAGCACTCGGTGCTTTGAACAATCTAGGTGTCGTCCACCAAGACCGGGGCCAACTGAAAGAAGCGGAGAAAATGTTCAAAGAATGCCTAAATGGATATGAAAAAAGCCTCGGTCCTAATCATGTCCTTACACTGGACGCGGTATCTAACTTGGGAGACTTGTATCGGGATCAGCACAAAGCCCACAGGGCAAAGGAGCTTTACTTGCGCGCTCTTGCCAGCTACGAGGAGACCATGGGTCCCGACCATCCGAAAACACGAGAAACCGCAAACAAAGTCCGCTTGGTATCCAATCATCCAAACTCTGCCAAGCGAGATTTTATTGCCAGGCTCTGGAAAGGTAGTCGCTGGTGACATACCTTACTGTATATCTCTGTTGTATGCCAGAATTTTCCATACCTCGTTGAATCGGCGAATAGAAGGTGTTGATGAATTCCTACCTTCGGCGACACAGTGGTATTTGGTCCCACTGACACGGTATCTCTAACCCTAATAAAAACCCTAATTCAGTATTGGTATGTCCGAAGTCTAACTATATTTGATTGTCCTCTATTGCCCGTTAATCGAGATTAAGTTTGCTATATACGCCACTCATATGTCTAGGACAAGGCTGGACAAGAACAGAATTGGGTGTTCTGCTCCGGAAAGGCAGCGGAGAAGATTTTCAAGAAAGCCTCACAATGCTTCCCCCAGAATGCTCAACAACTCTTCTGTGAAGGCCTCGGGATGAGTAGCGGATGGCAGATGCCCACCGGCTACCATCTTCACCGGTAGGCCTAACTGGGCACCTAAGGTGGTGATCGGTTCAGTGGTCAACGGAGTTGAGGACAATTCACCCCTGATGAGAGTAATCTTTTCCCGATAGGCCATCAACACAGGGAAGGGCACTTGGTATCCTAGCAGGACAGGTAACTCATATTCGAAGAGGAAGTTGAAACAGAGAATTGACAACGCAAGGAGCTTCTTGTGTGTGGGCGAGTCACGAAGCAGCGCACGGTCTTCATCGCTCGTTACGACCGGGACAAATGTCTCCGAGGCGGCAGCTGGACCATGGGCCTTGTATATCGAAACGGTCGACTGGAATGCTGCAGAGACCTGCTCATAGCTCTGCTTTGGTAGGAGGCATGGTATGCACGGGTCATGGACAACTATCTCTCGGACCAAGTCCGGATGAGTGCTGAGCAGTTCAAGGGCATGCATGCAACCGAGTGAAATGCTGTAGATGAGGACTGGCTGGTCAGGTGAGAGGTGCTGTATGAGAGCGACTATGTCGTCGACGGTGTCCTTCAGCAGGGTTCGTTGCTGTTCTTGCGTTGGTGGAGAGAGGAAGCGACTGCGGAGGGACCCTCGCCGATCGAAGCCGATAACAGTGTATTGGGACGATAGCCGCAAGGCGAGGTCTTCGTGGGTTAGGTGCGTTCCATGAGCCGCTGGGATTATGAGAAGCGGTGGACCGGAACCGCGGATTTCGTAGTAGATGGATACACCAGGTCGGCTCAGGACTCCGCTGGACATCGTTGCTGACTTGCTTCAATTATTTCTTTCGGTTGTGCTGTTTCTTTGTCTCGCCTGAATGTAGGGATGCGTTCCCGTATTAAAATATGTAGATGTTGGTACCGCCCCGGGTTCCTTCAGTTCTAATCGGACCATTGATTTAGAATCGGCAACGGACAAACTAATTGGAGCAGCACGAATAATTGAAGCAGCCGAAGCCAGTCTCCCGGTGTCTATTTATGGTATGATGGTGGTGCCCTGCAGGTTTGTGTCTCGCAAAGATGCGCCCAAAATTTGGACATTCGATCAAGTGCCAACTAGCCCGTCCCTTGAAGCCATATAGTCCGAAAATCAGGGCATCTGAAAAGCAATTATGGATGAAGTTCGTATCTCCTACCTCTTCAACCTATCTGGGTCTTCATGGGACGCCTTGAAGAAGCGCAGAACTGATAGAAGTTTTTGGTGTGTCATGTACGGTAGGCACATACACGATATATTGTCAATAATGGCCTCGCTGCTGCATCTCCGTCTCGGATCGACGCTTTTAACGAAATAAGTCTGAGACAGTCATAGATTCTGACTGGACTTCACGATACTTCCGTTAGCGCACTTAGTTTTTTTTTGGCATCACTGAAAACTTGCTGTAGGGGAAGATGACCTTATTCTCAAATCGCTACAGATAGTGATGTTCAGCTATACCGTAATGCCTGTCTACGAGGACACTCCTTACAGCACAGTCCTTGTCCGTGTGGCGGCGGAGTGTCATAGATAGAACGACCACCTGCTAGGGAGAGATCCCAAATAAGACAAAACAACGGAGTGGATTGCAGGTCTATTTAATACCCTCGTCTCACCGATATCTAGAAACAGCAGGCTGGCCTCCTATTTCCTCTATCTCCATTAAATTGCGAAGGCCCATTGTCAATTATTAAGAGTAGGGAAAAGACTATTTTAACCAGAATTTGAATAATACAAGGTCAAGAGCCACGGTATTGTCACTTAGCAACTCCCGGTCACACGGATCTCCTTACAATTCAGCAAAAGAGCGTCTCGCCTTGCTTTCGAAGGAGGGATGGAGACTCTAAGGTAGTGCTAGTTCTTCAGTCCACAGCAGATATTATTTTCAAAAATTGGATTTTATATGATATTACTGTCTCATACAAATTGCTTTATAATTACAGAACAGACTGAGCCGGCAACTTCCCAAACTCCAACTGCTGATCAACGGTGTCTCTCACTTGATCCTCCATTGCCTTGAATTTGACACCGAGCTCGTTCTCAGCTTTACTCGAGTCCACCGCGTAGTTCATCCAGTCCTCTGGAATCAACTTCCACGCGACGGAGGGGTATTGTTGTCGGACGAACTCGTTCACCTCCTTCCATGACCGGCGTGGAGCAGAGAGTAAGAAGGACTGGAAGCCTGGTGTAGTATCACCCAATGCCTTGACGTGTGCCACAGCGACATCATCAACATGAACCCCCAGAAACTGACCATTGATGGGCTTTTCTGCCGACAGAAGAGTGAGTACTAGCGCTCCGCAACTTCCACTAACATTGTCATGTGGTTCTTGCACCGGATTTCGACCATAAACCCAAGATGGATGAAGAGTTGTCACATCAAACGGTGGGTTGCGCTGTTGTACAAAGTCGATAATCGCTTGATAGGAGGCTACCTTACTCGCGCGGTACTGTACCATCGGGTCGAGCAAGGGCGAGATGCCCTGCTTCGCATCATAGGGGACTCCAGTATCCTCTATGGATGGTCAGTAGATATCCGCCATTTTGAACCAAAGCAGAACTTTCTCACCAGTGATCACTGTCCCGTGCGGTTGACCAGCCAGGGGCATGAATGATGATATTGAAGATGTGACAACAACCTTCTTGATAGATGGATTTTTGCAAGCAGACTCCAATATGGATGTTGTTCCCTGCATTGCAGGAATCAAAAGGTCGCTGTTTCGATCTGGAAGTGGTGATGCAACATGTACAACATATTGCACGTCCTGAACTGCCTCATCAAAACACCCGGTGGCCGTAATGTCTCTCACAACGATGAAGTCAATATTACTGAGATGGCTGCTGAATATGCGGCGCAACTTCTCAGCCTGTTCAGGGCGTCGGATAGACAAGCGTGCGCGGTACCCAGCCTGCAAAATCTCAAGGGCAACGCGAGACCCAATGAAGCCTGTTGCGCCTGTGATCAAGACGGTAGGGGCCATTATGCTGTTATTCAATTTGAATAATAGCGGTCATATTAGCTTCCCTGCCATTGTCATACTTAAGTAGGGCATCTAGCCACCACAGCTGGACAACGACATGCGTGTCGGAGTTTCTATTAACGGTGACTGAAGCTGTTTGCACCTCACTGACGCACACAAAGGAGATAGTAAGCTTGAGTAGCTCGCTAAGTACGTATGATCGTAGGAAAATCATGCAGTATGTATGCGTTGACTTACTAGCCCTTGATTACGTTAGGTACGATCATGCAAGGTGATTGGAGTCAGCCGATGGAGATTCAATCGACATTACGCATCTTGTTGCATTTGGTAAAATACTTAACTTCAATGAGAACCAGTAAGAGGTCTCCACTATAATCCGGCTACGGACTAACAATTATAAGGATCTAAATAAATACCATGGTGCGCGAACAGGATTAACGGGCTTACATTACTCCGTTGATGGACGCGGATAAACGCACTCCTCCGCGGCTCGGTGAGTCTAATGCTGCCAGAAATATATTTCAGCTCACCAGTTACACTACAGGATGTTAGGGCCCGACGATCGGGCGGCTGAGTCATATACTATGAGGTTGATTGTGACTATGGACTGCTTTATTATCACCACACTATCTCCACTAGTTCCATGTCAATAACCTTGAAGAAAATTCCCTCCATCCCATTCTAATAATCGATGTTAGTTTTCTTTTTGCTTCTCCCTTTCCTCTTCCAATTGCTAATGAGCGTATCCCTGGTAGTTGATACTAGTTCTTCGATGAGTTGGCAGAATAAGACTTGGTAGTTGTTCGTTAGACTTGCAAAAGATGCAGCTCTATACCAATCATTCAATATGGTTTCAATGCTACAATAAGTAGCGTCTGCCTTACCTCGTTATTAGTGTCGATCTTAGAGGACATCTTCTCAAAGTCCTTGAGACTGACTGACTCTATTTAACCCAGGCCGTCGAACACACCTAGGTAGACACCACGCCCTTCTATCTCAAAGCCTGCAAACCCATTCCTCCATAATGTCATATACACCGGCCCAACTAGATCAATACTTCGAACGCATCAAACTTCCTCATGACACGCGCGCTCGCTTGTGCGCTGGGATTAAAGACCTAGAGGTTCTGACCAGCCTTATACGCCATCATGTTGCAGGGGTTCCCTTTGAGAATACAGTGCTGCACTACACCCCCCAGCAGTATTTTGAGCTCAAACCCCAAGGTCTATACGAAAAGATTGTGCTTCGTCGTCAAGGTGGTACCTGCTTCCAGGTAGTCAGGATCCTAAGTGAAGTCCTGCTTTCCATCGGATACACGCTCTACAACAGTGCAGCGCGTCTGAACGCAGCAGCTAGTATCTCTCTTGCAACCACCGGCGATCCTAACCGACCAGTGGGTGCACAGTTCGGTGACTGGCAACACATGGTTCTCATTGTTCGCGTTGACGGACAAGATTACCTTGTGGATGGGGGCTTCGGTCCGAACTGCCCTGTCCAGCCGATTGCCCTGCGTGATGGGCATGAATTTGTGGATGGGCGCTTGGGCCGTCGGGGACGGCTGATTTACGACAATATCAACAAAGGCCGGGCGCATCATCTGAAATACTGGCGACTGCAGTTCCAAAGCATGAAGTCAACGGCGGCGCCGTGGATGGACGTATATGCATTTAAGGAGTGCGAATGGTTAGACACGGATTACGAGGCCGGTGCCCGGGCAGTTGGTACAAACAAACGCGTATGGTTTCGGTTCCGTGTGACTGCTTTCCAGTACGTGCTAGAGGAAGGGGTCCCCGCGGGCTGGGTTATGCTATGGCATAATACGCTTATACGGTTCCACGGTGGCAAGGTGCTGGAGAAGAGCTTTTTGGAGTCTGAGGAGGAGAGGATCGAGGTGTTGGCGGATGTGTTCGGAATCGTGCTGACCGACGATCACAAGAAAGAAATTGCCGGAATGTTCTCAGCTTTGCCTCTAAAGAAAGCAAGGCCATCAAAGATGTAGATCTGTATTACTGACACCTGGGCCAGCCTGTCGGACACTGCGATATTTTGCATTTCTCTGCTAGTCATACTTAATCTGATATCTGTTTATTTATATCTATGTTCGTATTGGGCTGTCAGGCGGCCGCAACTACTGTTACTTAGTGGTCTTACTGATGGATCTGCGTTAGGTAAATATTTATACTACCTCTACTGGCTGGCATCGGGTGATCACTCAGGTCATCGCTCAGTACTACTGCATACATCACTGCTCACTGCCCTAAAGTGACTTGAGTCTGTCTTGCTCTTATTCGTATGTTTACGAGGCCTTATTGGAGGGAAACGCGTAGGCGGTACATGCGTATGACTCACGAGATAACAGGTAAGCGTAGGTTAATGTGGCTCTCACACAGCCTATTGTCAGTGCTATAGATCGACTCACAGCTTACCAGGTAAATCCAAATTCATGTAACTGCATCATAATGTTCCAGGAAACATCCTCGGGCAGAGTGAGACGGTGTATGAGGAAAACCGAATCCGAATCCCCACGCCCGGGGGAGGTAGGGGTGAGATTAGTAGTGTTTCAAAGCACTGTACCGTCATCAATATATTGTGGAAGTGACAGAATCGGGAAAGCAGTATGTGGTAGTACGGACCCATGAGAATATTCTTGAAGCATAGAGGGCTCCCTTGCCTTGGCTATGGTCGCAGGCTTGGCAGCACTCTCATCTGGTCTTCTATTCTACAGCCTTTGGGGCCAACAACCCGGAATGCCACTTCCGCTTGGGTAAACCAAATTTTCTTGTCAGTTAGTGAGGTGGGATTGGTGCTGAAGACGGCTCTGGGAGAATTTCATATCATTGACTCGGGGATTCGGCTGTCTAGAATCGATTACTCTGAATTATGTGTAAGCATCCGCAGACCACAATAATGGCATTGGTTGATTTTCTAGATTCCACCGATATCTGGCTTATCCGCGGTAATCTCAGACCTTATCATATGATAAGAACGGGTTACTCCAGGTCCGCTGCTAACCGTGCCACTTGCCATCCTGATTGGACTCGTCTACTAATCAATCAAACCAGCATCCTTCTTAGTATCCTTGAGATTTAAATCCTAAAGAACCTGGGGATCTTTAACAACTTACTGCTGATAACACCACGAGTCTAGAAGCTTCCTATTTATCTGTAACCTCACCTCGGTCATTTGCTATACAAACTGGACTATCGCAATTATCGCCATGATGACCAGCACATCCAACCCGCCAACCAACTTCTCCATTTCAACCGCCCGCCTTAACATCACCTACTTCGACCCGACCAGCCCATCTCACAGCGCCTTCCTCGCTCACCTCTGGAACACCCCCGACTTCATCGCCAGCAACGGCAAAACCTCCATCACAGACAGCCATTCCGCCCAGACCTTCATTCAGACCCGGATCATTCCCCAATACACCCGCAAAGGATTCGGCCTCCTCCTCGTCAACCTCAGGCCCACCTCCAACTCATCTCATCAAAACACCCTCCCGATTGGCACTGTAAGCCTCATGCAAGGCGATCCACCAAATTGCTACTCTGCACCAGATGTTGGATTCGCTATTCTTCCAGAGCACCAAGGGCGAGGATACGCGACTGAGGCAGCGAAGGCGGCCATTTCGTACGTGCAACGCGAGTGGAACGTGCAGGGAGTGTTTGGGTTTTGTGTGCCGGGCAATATGCGTAGTCGGAGGGTGTTGGAGAAGAGTGGGCTGGAGTTCAGGGGGGTGAGGAAGTTGAGAGTGTTCGGGGGAAGGGAGAGTGCAGTATTTGCTTTGGTGGGAATGGAGGAGGATTTGGGGGTTTATGGGATTGATACATAGATAGATATATTGAAGGATGGATGCGGATTAGCTCCTAGGGGTCTAGATAGCAGCATACCGGAATTATTGGGGGTTTATTCTGCTTCTGGGTTGTGATCTGTCCAATTGGCTAAGTAGAACTATCATGAATGATTGATTTTCAAAATTCCATAGTATCACGGCTGTGCTGGGTTTATATTGCTCCTCCCCATCTCCAATGTGCTAAGCCTGGTGATAGGGTCTTGGTGAGTATCCTTCCTATGAAGAGAAAGGAAATGCGTCAAGACTTGGATTGCGCCATAGAAATATAGTTGCGGGCTGAATTCTTGTTATTCTTTCGAAGAGTTGACCCCATCTGGCTAATGGACGAACTTTGGGTTTTAGAAATATATCTCATGAAGGAACCAATAACTACTCACCCGAAATCTGGATGTTTCCCTGGATGGTGGGGGTGAGCATTGTATGATTGGTTCTGGAACAAGTAATGCTAAGGACCACTCATGAAAGTTGCACCTTGCCGAACTCTGCTTGCGTGGTTCTCGGCCATTGTATCTAAGTCCCTGGGGTCAAAAGACTCCGACACCGAACCGCATCCGGAATAAGTGTTAGCATCCGCTGGGAGGATGTGAAGCAGCGTGGTAACCCGCAGGAACTGATCACGGATCCACTCGTACTGCCCCGGTCTGAAAAGAGTCTTCATTGGCGGCCCATACTCCTCGGAGTGGAAGGTCAGAAGCCGGCTGAGTGGGCTCATGACATGCCATGGTCCTTGGGCGATGATGTGACGCCTATGCTCTTCCACTGCCACCTGCGGATGGTATGAGAACTGTTTGTTCCAGTTTACGTTGTGGCCCAGAACATGTGAGCTTGGAAACAAGATTGTGGAGTCTGTGAAGTCGGCAATGCTTAATGGCTTCCTTAGGTTGCCGAGATAGAAGGGCACACTATAACACACACCATCAACCAGCTCTTGAAATATGGGCTGAAGCTCGGCCACCCCCTGAAGGTTTGATGGCATGCTATCGCACTCGAGTTCACCTTGCGCATCAAGCAAGCTGAGCTTCATCTTGATGATCAGGATACGTTGAATGCGCCACAAGTTCCAGATGGTCGCGATTTGACAGGACGGGTAGATTTCGCACGTAGATTGATACACTGGAATTGATGAGTCGATGCTCCATCCGTTTGTGAGTCTCAATGGCTGCCAATGGTCGGGCACGCATTGTGTCCAAGTCAGCAATTGTTGATCGACCTGTCGCGTCTTGGCAATGTATTCGCTCAGAGCTTCCCGTGACAGCGTAACGTAACCACTCTGTACTTCCAGCTTCAACTGCGCCTGTAGCCTAGCAACAGACACTCCAATGGCATCAAGTGCGGCACTTGGGTTATCAGGTACGGTGAATAGGCCGTTGTCTCTGATCCATGAGGATGCGACCGTTTGCAATTGTCTTCCTTGGCGAATGGCCGAGCATATTTCACTATGAAGAATGAACTGCCGGGTGTATGCACTTAAAATTTCATTATTATCGCCTGCACGGGCCAATGGAAGGGAAGACACAGCCCCGTTATGGTGTATCTGCGTAGATGACCGAAGCCCGTAAATGGCGGCGATAGTCTCAAATAGCTGCAGGGACAAAACCGCTAGTATTGTTGCTGCGCTACCCCATTCACGGGAATCCTGTAATGTACGTCGAAGACACTGGACAGCCTGGGCGTAAGCCACCTGTGGCCGGGGAGAGTTATCATGTCGCCAAAGAGACAGTACTTGGGACGCAACCGCCGACACAGCTAATGAGAGCGCGGAATCCTGCTGCTGCGAGCAGTAGATTGGAATGAGCACCTCGTAGAATCCGCGTGCGGAGCTCATGTCACGACCCATTCTGGCGTAATGGTGAAGATAAAATGGCACGGCCGAGTCGGGTTCACTGAGCGGTCGCAGGCTATACTCCTGGGTTGGTTTTGTGGCGCTTCTGACCATAACGCTTTGGCTGTGAAACTTATGGCTCTGGTCTTTAAATTTAAGATTGGCATATTTCGTCTTGTACCCTCCACATTGAAGCCGGAGTCGATGACACGCCCGGCATTTCGGTTTTGCCTCGTCACATTTGACGCGCCGCTCTCTACAAGTGACGCATCCTCCTGAACGCCCGTAGTTGACCATGTTGGTAGCAAAAGTGGCGGGAAGAAGAGAGATCTTTTTGGCATGTGCGATGGGTGGTTGACTGACAACCTTCATCCGTGATGTGCTGGAGGCTTCGGCAGTGGCCGTAATGAATTGTCCCCACTGTTTCACATTTGCACCAATCGATGGTATGCATCGCAAAACTAGCACCCGGTTAGGTTTAGTACAGCTCTCGGCTAGTCCGGGGAAAATATCCATGGTCTGGCGCTTCTTCAACTGCTAGTTATTAATATCCAGTGGGATGCGCCAAATCATCTAGCTGCACTCTTCGGGACCATCGCAAAAAGAGTACTCTTTTCGGCTTGCGTGCCATCGGTCTTCGATAATGTGAGGTCAATACATGGTTGCCTAAGTAGTTGCTACACGGAGATGACTTCATTTTATGAGTGAGTATTTCATACTGGCAGTAGGAGTTAAGATATATAAACCGTCCCAACTAGCTCCAAATTACAACAGCATAATAGACGAAAAAAGTTCATGCAGAATACTGAATACTATACTCGACCACCAGACACCAAAGACATTCATTTCTGGTTCATATCCATCCTACAACATGAGGCTTTCCATTAGCATCTATGCTTTGTTGGCAGTATTTTCATCCTGCTCTTCAGCAGCTGGAGTGAATAGTACCAGCGATGCCCCTACACTGCAGTTGAGCACGGACTCCGCCTTTAACTTTCAATATCTCATTGCACTCGGTGATGCCCTAACTGGAGGAGCGGATATTGCTCCTGTCCTCGGTGCTGCCAAATACATCACTGCTGGGGACATGGACTCATTCAGTGAGCAGTTTCACAAGCTCGCCAGCCTCACCAAGGAAATGGCGGAAAACCCAGAAAACGCATACGACCCGATCAACGTGAGAGACACGTGGTTCTCTGCTGCCCAATACTTCCGTCGTTCGGATATGTACCTGCATGGCAACTGGAGCAATCCCTTGATATACTCCCTGTGGGCAGAGCAGACTGCAGCCTTTGATAAGGCAATTGCTGCGCTACCTGTACCTGGCCAACGTGTTCGCATTCCCGCCAAGAAGGGCAACTTCACGATCGAAGCAATCTGGTACGGTGCATTAAACAACAATAGCGACCCACTCCCGACCTTGGTGATCGGAAATGGATTCGATGCAGCCCAAGAAGACTCCTATCATTACTTCGTTGCTGCTGCCCTGGCGCGAGGTTGGAACTGTATTACTTACGAAGGACCAGGCCAGCCTACTGTAGTTCGTGAAGAGAAAAAAGGATTCATCCCGGATTGGGAGGACGTTGTGATCCCGGTTGTGGATTATATTCTCTCTATGAAGTCCCAGATTGTGGACAAGCGCCGCCTGGTACTTGTCGGAAATTCCTTTGGTGGCTATTTGGCTGCACGTGCGGCAGCATTCGAGCCTCGGCTCTCCGCTGCCGTTCTCATCGATGGAGTTTGGGATCTATATGCCGGGTTCTCGGCACAGTTACCATCTGACCTGTTAGCTATGTACGAGGCTGGGAACTATACCGAGTTTGATCAAAAGATTCTCTCGCTGCGCAGAGCCAACAAGCTCACCACCAACACTGCTTGGGGCCTCGATCAGGGCCTGTGGTCGTTTCGCACGCACTCGCCTTCCAACTTCTTTAATCAGACAAAGCAGTATCGACTGGCAGATGTTGTGGAAAGAATCAAAATGCCGGTCTTTGTCGGGGCCGCCCAATACGAAACGATTTTCCCGGGACAGGCACAACAGGTCGCTGAGGCATTAGGTGATAATGCGACCTTGTACCAGTTCAATGGGACTGGAGGATATCATTGCCAAACCGCAGCTGGACAGGAAATGACGCGAACAATTTTTGCCTGGATGAATAAGACGCTGAATGCTTTGGATAGCCACAATGAGGAGTGATAGTACTGGTGTTTCCGGATGTGTATAGTGAAAGTGGTGCGAAGACGCTGGTTGAGAGGGCGCTGTCGTGACACGACAGATCTGGCTCGCCCAGCAGTTAGAGAAAGAATTAGATTGACACTATGAATGAGGAACAGAGAATAGGATGCTTCTAAGTAATTGTCTTTAAAGCTGTAAGTGGAAAGACTTAGACAAGTCAAGTTATGTTATGTTAACCTAATGGAGCCCCCTAAAGGAATCCAACATGAGAGGATGACCCAGGAATAAATGCTGCACGGACTAGAAGTGGTGCCGTTCTCGTGAAGCCGTGGGCTTTGCTCAAAACCCTGGACTATGAAAGTAGCCAGTTAGTAACACGGAAAACACAAGCGATGATTTTACCACTGACCTCGTATACGCATTCGATTTGACTCACCCGCTCCCTGAGAAGTGAGAGGATCAATTTCCCTTTCGCCGGTTGATTTGTCCATGGGCTCCAATGAGCCAGTTTCTGGCACTGTCTCCAAAATACTCATTCGGAGCACAGTGCTGCCGACCTCTTGAAAGGATACCTGAAAGTACAACGATCTAGCAGGATACGGCCAAGAATGTCATCGGGAACAGCGAGCTCGGCGCCTGGGGCACACCTCAGCGGGTCATATGTCATCTAGCAACAACCGGCTCTTTTCAAGCGATGGAAAGTTTATCCTTATCTAGTCAATGTTCAGTTATCTCTCGGGCAGCTGCAGTGGCAACTGTGCTATCCTACACACAAAAATAGGTATGCTGTAAGTCATGAAATTCTACTTAAGCATAGGCGGTGGTGGTGGTGGTGGTGATGTCATTTACCCTGACCCCTCGCTAAGCGATATGCAGGCTACTAATAATTATATCTCTACTCTCCTGTCTCCATTGTACATCATCCCCTTTTTTAAAAATAAACTTTAAGCCTCGCCTAGAGGCCTGTGCTAGCCATTTACCTTTAATTCTATTCTTACAGATCTCTTAATTCATAATTATGAGAATATCAAAATACTATAATATATTCTATATGCCTGCTCTATCTATACTTAATTAGAGAATCTATTTATTTAATATATTATCTAATACTCATAACTTTAAATATAATTTATCAGAAAATAAAATATTTAAATTATAAATTTAGTAGAGCCTCAGCCGGTAGCTATTTTGCAAAATGAATCTTAAAAAATAATTATATTGAATATTATTATTATATATTATTTGACCGTCTATTTACTTTCCCCAGTCTTCTAATTATAATTACACTTTCCTCGGCTTACCACCCGACGAGCCCGAGCGATCGTTGTTATCTCAAATAGTCGGGTACGGAACTGATTATCGTATTCGGAAGCCCGGGAAGTTGGACACGGCATTTAACATTCCCCGATGGTTGCATTTCCTGGAACTATTACTGAGATTTGGCGTACACCCAAGCATCTCAGGGTAGAGTATTACAATATCATATCGGATATGTGATGCGAGGGCGGAAATTGATGCATTGAACGGTGGAAAATACAGTGAGGCCGCGCATACTTTAGCACGATGACTCTGTTCTGCCCGACCGGAGACCATCAACACACGCCTGAGCTTATATCAGAAAGATTGAGAGCACTCAGCAGCTTGGACAGGGCTATGAATCATACAGATCAGATGGAGCCAGCTTCGAAATGAGAGTGCTTGAATTCAAACGAGAACCGATGAGGGTTGTCGGCGAGCGCAGTTTAATATTCCTCAAATGACAGAATGGGTTATGGAAAAAGCTATACTGAATAGCTATTGTTGCTGTATTAAGTAGTTGAAGACATGGATCAATCCGAGATGACAGTCCACACATCCTCTTCGACCGTAGTGTCAACAAGACCCTTTGCATACTAAGTCGCCTCATCCTCCAAAATCTCCTACCTCTTGAGAATTCTATAACACTTCGGTGCAGATGCAGAGTCCATACCTCAACATTTCACCACAAGGTTATCAGTTGCTTGTGACAGACATAGTGTACCAACAGTTTATTGCCACTCCGAAGGAAAGCAGAGATGCCGTCGGTACAAGTAGGGTCGCAAAACAATCCCAGACACATGGGTGATAGAAAACTCCATATCCCTCCAGTAACTGAGTAAGGTGAGTTTCAATCGGCTATCACAACGGTTCGCCATCACACTCGCATCAGACTAGGCGTGATATAGCACTGTGAAAGAACTAATTGTATAAGCACCTTCTATATTATAGTCTCTTTACTTCTACGTTAGTCGTTCATATATTATGACGTATAAAGATTTTGTTATGAAGCATCTATGCCCATGGTAGTACTCGCGTATTCAAGTATTGGGTGGAATACCTCCAAGTATAGTAGTAAGCACCAAGCCCTGTCTCAGTCACATCACACTTTGCACCAATAGCTGTGTACTGACCATGCCCTGCTCATTTCCCTTACCAGCCCAATACAGCCTCCTTGGCTCCGCGGCGCTCTCATTAAATGCCCACAGCTGCTCTCCGTTCAGCATAAGGAACCCATCATCCGAGACTCCCCACCCAGTTATCGTGTCGATAGCCTCAGGCTCTGCCTGGAGTTGAAGGATCCATGCAAATGAGGTATCATCGGCCAGCACGGCCAGTGCCTGACCGTAGGGCCCGTATCCGATGGTGTCGTCTTTATAGGGAGATACTATAATTATCAGTTTAGCGCGTTATCAATAGGTGTGTGTAGGTGGTTGGTCCGGGAGGAACAAGTAGTAGCTTACACGTCAATATAGTTTCTAGGGTGCTGTCATAGATACCCCAACCATCCGTGGTAAGTACTGAGTTATCAAGGGTGGACAGTAGAGTAAAGTTGGCAGGAAACGAAGTGGTTGTGGACGCAGCCGAGGCAATGATGCCACACATGGCTAGGAGGGGTTGGCTAAATCTCATAATGAAAGTTGTGAAGGAAAATGTTTGATTTACTGACTATAATGGTACCTAAAAAGTATGGTGAAATATTATCGTGAAATTAGGACAAGGCGAAGAAGGCTTTTTAAATCTATCTTGGATAAATTCTCGTTTATGTGATTGGATACCCCGTAGCTAAAAATAGCCGTTCCAATATGTAAGGCCGACTACCGGCCCATCTGGTGCCTTCCTTGAGTAGCGATATGGGACGCCTAAGCTGACTGCTGATCTCTCGATACTTGCTGCGCAGTGTCTGATTTGATAAGAAACAGTTTCATATACGTAATATTGATGCATGTCTCTCTTTAAATTATCTACCTATACCCCGGCAGCTTCATCTATACCCTTTAGTTAATATTCAAATAAGCACGATACTCCTGAACCGTATTAGACTAGTTTATTATACTGATTATTCATGGAAAGAATCCAGGCCGGCCTGGCGGGTGGTAGAACGGTATAACAATAATAATATTAAAAATAGATCTGATCGGGTCAGACGATCTTCAGGACAAGCTGTGGAGCAACATGTTGCTCCGAATGTGTTTTCATGGAGTTTATGTCATAATTTGGAGATGCGACCCTCTCTCTCTAACACGTGGACGCAATATGAACATTGCTTTATCATTCTAAAACCCTAATAATAATAATGTCAAGGGCATTTTCACGGCAGAAGTTGACAATTGAGATATGCAGTATGGTGAATAGAAATAATATGAAGGATCCACAAGATTAACACGAGTCGGAGTATTTTAGTAGACATCACTGTCGTTCAGAAAAGACTTCTGGCCGGTCTCGATGTACCAAGCCCGAGATGACGGTGTGTTGATACCAATTTAGGCTAAAAATTTGAGCAGGCAAGAAGTAAACAGCCAAATAATCGCGGGATTTATTGGACTCTAATCTAGTCCTCGGTGAACGGACAACCCTTGGCGCTACTGTGCGGCCGTGTTTTCTGTTCCACCACCTCAGCTGTCAACTTCATCAGCCTGTCCGCTAACTCCATGTCATTGGCCTTATCGCTGCCTCTTTCCACGATTCGTGGTGGATTAATGAACTGTCCACCCTCGGTCGCCATGGTCGCGGCATACATGGTGGACACGGCCCCTTGAAACTGAGTCTTCCGAAACGGTTTTAAGCCGGCGGACAAGCCATACCCAAGCACGGGATGGGCCTCATGGATATGGACATTTGTCTGCGCCGTATCGACGACCCCCGGATGAGTTGCATTAACAATAAGATTGGGGTGTGTGGGTCGGAGGTGGGCGTTGAGCCACTTAGCATATAAGAGCACAGCCAGTTTGGACCGACCATACAGCTCTGTGGGGCTATATTCGCGATTCAGCTCCTCTACAGACGCGAACTCCGTATCCTTGGGCGTGCTTCCTTCTACGTTGGAGGAGACGTTGACAATACGAACAGTGTTTCCAGCGTCGGCGGTCTTCTTCAGCGTTGGGAGCAGGTGCGAGGTCAGCACGACGTGACCCATGTGGTTCGCTGCCATGTGCAAGTCAATTCCGTTGGTGGGAGCTAGCTGGCGTGTCATGACGCCCCGGCCGGCATTATTGACAAGGATGTCGATGCGGTCTGTCTGCGACGCAATCTCAGCTGCCACCTTAGCAGCCTGTTCCCAGTCCGACAGGTCACATTGGATCCAGATGAAGCGGTGGCGTGTCTCGGGACCGAATTCCTCCTCAGTGGCAGAGAGGGCATCATCGGCGACCTCCTTGCGGAGCGAAGTCACGAAAAGCTTGGAAATGCCTTTAGAGAGAAGAGTATGGGTAACGCCGAAGCCGATACCTGTTGTAAATGTTATGGTTAACTTGCGATTGCAGGCGTGCGGGGATTTGGCGGGATCGGAGAAATTGAAGCAAGTTACCTTCTGTACCTCCTGTGACCACCGCTACTTTACCGCTCAAGTCGGGCACATCATCTAGATCGAACTTCTCTTCTGCGAGTTTGTGAGACGGACCGCCGAAGTTTTCGGCAATGGTGTTCTTGACAGCTTGCATCTTGGTCAACTGGAGTAACCTGAGGTATAGCTCCGCAATGAGATAAGAATACATGCATTTGTTGTAAGTTGCAGGACATAAGAGGCCGTAGGAGCAGCTGACTCAGGACTACTCATGATGAAGTCACCGACTGGCCATACCGCCATGTGCGTCATTCTCTCTCCGCCGCCTCTCATCATTGGGTTGCAACTACATTGAAATCCTGATTAAAACCGAGATATGAAGGATGTTTGGAGTGTTGAGAGTTCATTTGTACATGGTACTCAAACATCTGATCTACCGCGCCGGGCGGAGCCGAGGGGGCTTTCTCCTCCTCGCAATGGTTATGTCGGGATATTATGATTAAGTGAGGTCATCTTCTGCACATCTCAAATAGAGTCTAAAGTTAAAGAAGACAAAAGTATCTGTAATAATCTAATGTCTTATTATCCTAGATAATTTCAGCCCAAAAGTAGGGGACTTTATGCAATGGAAGCGCTCTATAAATTAACTAAGGACTGGACTACAGTAATGACATGTAGAGTCATGTGACCGTTATGCAGTTAGGAAATATGTTAGAATGTAACTAACATTGACGTAATCGGACAACGAAGCGGCGCGACAACGACTCGTTAACTTTGTTCACTTCAGTCATTCCCCAACATCCATGCGCTGGTAGCTACACATTTCTCGCCTGAAAGAATAATAAAAAGCCGAGCATAGGCTAGCAATAGTCGTAGTCCTGGGGTAGAGAAACGAATCGTGGCATATCTTATATATATCATGAAACCCAGAGAAGCCTTTCCAGAATGCATTAAATGAATAAATTGAGATAAACCCACAGACTGATAGTTGCGGACTTCCCTTCTTCGAATACTGGGAGTACTTGCAGCAAAATACTTGTATTGAACTTTCTCCAAAGTTCTGCGGAGTTGTACTACCACATTCCGATCGCAACAACTCTACCAATAATCCAGGTATCCTACTTTGAATACACTTCACTTCTTCAGCCTCCGCACAAACACTTATTCCTGTACTTCCTTAGTATGTGGTTCGAAGGTAGGTTACTATATACATAAAGCCAAGTTTGCCTGGAGGTGACACTAGAGCAATACGGAAGAGTCAAATATTAAGGACACACGAATTCATAACGACTAACAAAATGGGCTATATAAACAAAGAAACACACAATTCCAACAACGGCACTGGCCCCGCTCTTCCGTCTCTGACCTCATTTCAATGGTTATCGCATTGGTAGACGTAGTTGATAGTCACAAGGCACCCATCACCCCTATGGTACGAGCCGCACTTTTCACAGCCTCCGATCTTGCGGATGTTCTGATAGTCATTCCACATGTCGTTGCCACTGATACTGCAATTCTGGCCTTGCAAAAAGACACCACAGCCGCGAGTCTGGTCTCCCCAGCAGTTCCCACTAAGCGAGTTGAAATCACTAGTTAGAGAAGCTTATACCACATATCGATATCCTCTTCAATTTGCGCAGTCCAATCTGTCAAGTCACCGGAGCCCAGCCGAGTCTAGAACTTCTAGTCGCTTACACCAAGATAACCAGTACGAACATATCCGAGAACAGTTTTTCCAGCCGAAGAGGCTCGCTGGATAACATCCTGCCAACTGGTGTCAACGGACGAATCTGGACCGTTAACGACATTCGCAACTCAGATAGGCATCTTATCCGCATTGTAGTCGATCAACCTATCCCAAGCTGCTGGATCACTAAGCGGGTTGATGGATGATGCTACGGCAATCTGCTGCCCTTGATCCGCTGATGAAGAACCAGTTGAATCCGGCCCAACAGCCGTCATGATAGTGGTGAGTGTGGTGGTGAGAGCGGACTGGGCGTCGCAACTTGTGACATTTGCACAGGATGTTGAACAGGCGTACTGAGGCGCCCATGACTGAATGCCGCACCCAACTCCACATTGCGTCGCCGTCTGCAGTTGACACATGGTGGCACTAGCGCCACCCTGCAAAGATGCAGAGGGGATCACGTTGTTGGTCGTGATAGATCCGTGATTATAGTGGAACCATGACAGGGCGAAAGCACCGACAGCTAGTCCATGAAGATGCGATGGGCTAATAGCCGGATTCACCCGGCCGCCCTGAGTGAGAGCCCACTGCACAATGGTGTTCAAACCAGCTACAACCTCTGCGTTGGTCCAAGGGAACCTTCTCTGATTCATGAGGAGCCAGCTTGCATAACCATCGCGGCCAACATTATCGGAGAAAATGTTCTCAGCGCCGCAAATGACACTGGCGATATCCAACGACGATCGAGACTGAATAGAGCTATATCTTGTTTACAAATCTGAAGATAATCTAATTGGGTAGCTAGAAGATAAAATCTAAAGACAATATTAAAAAGTCTCTAGCTAGAGCTGCTAGTCCTACTACCTTGCCTGTGTCTTATCTGATTATCAAAGAGAGATGGATCCAGCTGACACTTGGAATATTACATAAAGCAAGAACTTTAGAAGAAAAAGCTGAAAATATAGATTCTAGAAAAGATTAATCATATTGTCGGGCATCTCCTAAGTGTAGCGCTTGTTATATTATAGATGTAGAGGTACTAGATGTCCTAATTGAGCAATTGGTTGAGAAATAGATATTTAAAATATCGAAATTGGTGTTCAGAAAGCTTCATTTTGTATAGAAATCAGAATTTCTATATGCTACAGGCGGAGGTGGCCGACTCGCTTCCCGCTGACGTTAGCTGCTGAGTAAGAGCAGCCAAAAGCGGGGTAGGATTCAATCAGTCAGTCACTCCGTATAATCAACCGATCAATCATCCTCAATTTTGTTAAAACATTGTATCTGTTCTTATGGATATCGTTGCGTCTCTCTATCCCGCTCTCTCAGAGCGCAAACCCCTTCCCACCTACTACACGCCTGGCTGTTTCGGTCTCTCCCTGGTACCTTTTTTAATAGAAAACAAACGCTTCTCTGCCTTCTTTACTTCGCCCTTCTTGCTCTACTTATGCGCCAGCTGGCCGTGCTTCACTACCGGTGATCCCTCTTCTGATTACTACAATAACAGCCATTTCATTGCCTTTCCGCTGTGGTACTTTGACTTTGTTTTCCTGACGTCAAGAGACGGCAAGGACGGGCCTGCGTTCATTGGCCGCCAGCTTACAGATAAAGAGCGTGGGGATGAGGGGGGCATTATTACCGCCCAGGGCCAGCGCTGGAAGGATTTAACGACGTTCTCACAGCGTGTGAAGTGGGCATTCAGGCTGATGCTGCCCGTGCATAGGGGAATTGGATGGAATTGGCAGGTAAAAGGCGTTCCTGCGGATCCACATGCAAAGCTGCCAAGGTGGCAGTACGTGGGCTGGCAAATGTGGTGGGTGGTGTTCTACTATGTGCAATCTATGGGGGCTTTAGCCGGACTGGGTCTAGGATGCGCCTTAAGAGCGCAAATTAGATCAGATGAGCTACTCAAGACAGTTGTCGTCAATGCCATCGTGGGATGGTCGGGTGCGGTGTGGGTATGGGATAGGCTCAATTGTGCATACCGACTCGCGGCTGCCCTGGGTGTTGCGACAGGAGCGACGGAAACTTGGGAATGGCCGCCTCTCATGGGGCCATTGAAAGACGCATGGAGCGTGAGGCAGATGTGGAGGTATGTGCCACAACCTACATAGTGAGGCTATTAAGATGCTTACTTACACATATGCAGTGCAACCTATCACCAGGTATGTCGCAGAGTGAGTAGGATCCCAAGACAACTGCATTCCAATAGATGCTCGTGCTAACAGAACATGTAGCTGCTATCGCAACCATCAAAACGTCTTGTTCGTTTCCTACGTCTCCGCAAGGGTGGTCTAGCATCTAGCTACAGCCAATTGTTCATCTCGTTTGGGATAAGCTGCCTTTTCCACCAGGCCCAGATGTTCAATGTCACTCGTCGCGACATGGGCGAGCTGGCCTTCTTCATGTCGCAGCCTTTGGCCATCGTAGTGGAGGATCTGGTGCGCTGGACATGGAAGAAAACTGGCATCTCTGGAAAGAGCCTGTATTTTGAGAATATGGTTGGGTATAGTTGGACCTTCGTCTGGTTCTCGATGAGCCTACACTTATACGTAAGTGGACTTGTGCAGGCGCGCGTTATGAAAGACTGGCTGTTTGGATACAGACCTTTAGAGATAGGTGCTGATGCAAGACAGCAGCTACTTATGTGGTTACGTGTATAAGCTGAATAGTATGGGCGCTAGGGCATTCTGTGAGAGATGTGACAGCGACTGATATCTCCAGGGTTATATGATCTTTGTTTTATTTGTTTTGTTTACTTATCTGGTATTAGTCATCTTTATATAATTATATATTTCTCTTTATACTTCTTCTTTCCTTCATCACATTGTCTAGTAGGCAAATCTTCACAACAGGATAACAGTAAAATAATGTCTGACAAGTTCAAGATTAGTATCATTTAATAGCACTGGAAATAAGATATACAGTGATATAACTCTCAGTCTTTTAATTAATTATGCTATTAAATTATAAGTATTTGAGATAGCAGTATTTACTTTTAAATAAAATTAATTTATATAACAGAAATCTAATTAGGTTAATATATATAATAAAAATTTAAATTAGGTTAATACCTTTTTTCAGAGATACTAAGCCCAATTAAGTCTATTAAGTATTATAATAATAAATATTATAATAATAAATATTACTGTACTAAATATTATAATAATAAGTATTACTCTAATAAATATTTTATAAAATAATATTTCTAATATTTTTAAAATAAATTCTCAGAATCTTATTTATTCTATATATTAAAAAATTTAGTTTAAATATATTTATTATTTAATATTATTTATTATATCTAAATTATATACTTTCAAGAAGTTTTACTTATTATAAAAATATTAATATATAGTAGTCTATGCACTTGCCTACAGTCAGTTATAAGAAAGAAGAGATTATATAATATTTTAATTAATAATTTATAAAAATAATAATATTCTAAAAATAAAATAAAAAATCTTAAATATAATATTATATTAATATTTTGAACCTTCGCGATCCTACCATGCCAGTGAATAATAGAGAAAAATAATATTATAATTAATAATTTTATTATAGTTTTTATAGTTAGATAATATTCTTTTTATAGAAAACAAATAATAAAACAGATAATAATATTCTTTTTATTTTTTTTAATATACCTTGTCAGCTTATTTCTCTACGGGACTGCTAAACTTATAATTTAATACTCATTTTTAAACCTCCGCGATTTCTGCAGAAAATAGATAATAAAACAGGTAACAGTATCTTTTTTATTTTTTTTAAAATATCTTGTCAGCTTATCTCTCCGCAGGACTACTACATTTATATTCTAATAATTATCTTTAAATCTCCGTGATTTCTGTAGAAAATAAATAATAAAGCAGATAATAATATTCTTATAATATTAAAAACTTTCTGTTTATTTAATATACTTTATTATTTTATTTTCTCACAGGACTGTTAAGCTTATATTCTAATAATTATCTTTAAACCTCCGCGATTTCTATGAAAAATAGATAATAAAGCAGATAACAGTATTTTTATAATATTAAAAATTCTTTATTTATTTAATATAATTTATTATTTTATCTCTCTGCGGGGCTGCTGAGCTTATATTCTAATAATTATCTTCTAGTAGGCAAATCTTCACAACGGGACAACTGTAAAATGATGTCTGACAAGTTCAAGATTAGTATCATTTGATAGTACTAGAATTAAAGAATATAGTAATATAACTCTCAGTCTTTTAATCAATTATTCTATTAAATTATAAATATTTGAAGATGGCAGTATTCACTTCTAAATATAATTAGTATATATAATAAAACTTTAATCAGATTAACATATATAATAAAAATTTAAATCAGATTAATACCTTTTTTCAGGAATACTAAGCCCAATTAAGTCTATTAAATATTATAATAATAAATATTATAATAATAAGTGTCGGCTGGAAATCACTTTTACCTTACTAATTAAACTCTTGCCTATTTATATGAAAATCCTTATTCCCATGAATACCCAGAGTTATCATATACTCTATACAAAATTATATGGAATACCTAATATTCATGGAGCAGATTGGGCTTATTTTTTAAAATCCTGATAACCCCTCTTTTACATGTAATTCTTGTGTTATTCTGATCAGTTGACTACAATTTCTTTATTTATTGATAATTCATAATCCTAGCCTAGATTTATTCACTACAGACAGTGAATTAAAAATAAATAGGAGCTATATCTTCCTGCTTAAAATATTTGGATTAAGTCTTCCAAGTAATCTAAGTCATTTAATTTATTTATTATCTATCTCAGAATTTATTTTTTTTATTTAAATAGTAGGATTGCTTTTCTTTAATAAGTTTATTAATTATACTTATCTTTATATATTTTATAAATTAATACCTAGTTTTTTATTTAGGACTAGTATCACGTGATCTGAATATATTATTATTTTATAATTATTATTTAACTATATCTTCTTAGATTATATAATTATTACCTGACCATATCTCCTGTGGTTATATGATTGAAAAGATATTATTATCTTTATATTAGACTTTTTTATACCAGACCGCCTATCTTTTTCAATCTAATAATTCTAAGTTATCTGACTTTTATTATCTTCTTCTATTCTTAGAGAATATTCTGACAGTTATAAGCCTAGCTTACCTCTACTAAAAGATCTACACATATAAAGATTTGACTAGTAAATACCTATAATAACAACAGAAATAAATAAGTTTACTAACCAGCTAATTATCTCCCGTGATTGGCCGGCATGGATTAAAAATATCAGAATCCTGGCCAAAGTAAAGCAAGTATGGTAATATATTAATCCTGACCTTGTGTCAAACCCTAGGATCACTTCCCTGTCCTGGTTAGCTTAGCTTCACTGGTATACGTACCGTTGAACTGGATCGAGGAGGTATCAGGCTGATGATTATCTAAGAATAATTAGTCTTGGATATAAGAAGAGAAGTAAGGCCAGATAGTACTATATAATTATCTATAAGTAAGTATAGACAAGTATTCTATTATTAAGCTTCTAAATGTATAGTTACTTAAAGATAGTATTATTGAGCATAAAGAATAGAACTAGTTAAATATATAAAAAAATATTTTTATATATTTTATTTTTTATATATTATATTATATACTATTAGGTCTGTCGTATACTGCTATAATAATTATAGACCAGGATGGTATACCATATACTATAGATCTGTGTATATATTATAGTTATGTAA